TATTTAGTTGTATCAAAGGTTACATCAGGAGTTTCATTAAAAATTATGTTACGTTGAAAATAAGATAGTAGAAGTAAATCGTGCTTTGTCTACCGTAACCGACGGAAGGGCCAAAGACGAGAAAGTGGATATTACCGTAACATTTTTATGCGAAAAACTGGGTTTCATATTAGAGACATGAAAAATATTACAAACAGAATAATATAAATAAGCGTAATAATATTATAAATGTAAACTGCAATAGATAATTTTGTATATAAAACAATAAAATAGATTCATTTAAGTAAATAAAGTTGGATTTTTATAAAGTAGATGATTGAATGTTATCTTGCACTGTGTAACAAAATTGAGCTACGATCAACTGACTACTATAATAAAAACTGAAACATGAATCATTATATTATAACAAAAATTAGATAATGTTAAACAAGATAGTCGTCAGGAAGGAAGGAATTTTCATGATATTTTTATATTCAGTAATCGTTAAATGGCAGGAGCTTGTTTTGTCCATAATTTTGCAACATATTTCATACTTCCATTAAATCGAAATGTTGTCACCATAATAAAATGGCTCACCGTCTCCTATAATCTCCAGTTCGGATATACACCAGTATTCCTCGCGAAAAGTCAACAGACGCCTCGCTCTGGGATTATTTTATTACGGCTGAATCGGCTCGTGTCCGCGATAGGTATTATGCGTATAGGGATTGCAGAGAAACAGTACCTACATATATAGATATACATGCACGAGAGAGAGAGAGGGAAAGAGAGAGAGAGAGAGAGAGAGAGAGAGAGAGAGAGAGAGAGAGATAGTAGACGTGCAATAATTTACGATTAACGTGAAAACCAGTAATTGAGCGTTCGCCGGACACTAGCCGCAAAATTTTGCGAGACGTACGAGCACGATGAAATATACGAACATATCTATATGTATACTACTAGTTAGTCGCATGCGAAAAGTCGACTTGGATAATCCTCTGACGTGTTAGTTTTCGATACATTCGTGATAAAATGTGAGAACTATGTATTATATTGATATAATATACAATATGTATAGTATAATGTTTATATATGCATGTATCTAATTACATTATGTTTCGTTACACATAATTAAAATCTATTGGTACATATCTAATTTATATCATATTCAATCGATATGCTTTGAATTCATTCCCAAGAATTTTCATTGCAATTTTCTATTAACGTTAATTGATCTAATTTAATTATACTACCCATATAATTACTGTGATACAACTTTTAATTATATAAATATACGCGCGTACACAATATAACTATAATAGATTATTTTTTTATTTCAAAATATTATCACAATGTGCTTAGCGGATAAATTATTCTTATATATAAAAAAAAAGAAAAAAAAAAAAGAAACTAACTCTAACAATTTCTTTCAGATATCCGTTATACTTCGTTATTATAGCAATACTTATTACCAAGCAATTAACTTCATATTCCGATCGATTTTCGTAATGGAAAGTAATAAAGAACGTTGCCGTGGTTGGATTAACCCCGAGCTAATAGATAGGGGATAGACAGGATTTTTCGCGGTCTGCCGTCAGCCGACGATTACGCGGCTTACGCTGTGTAAACGCCACGGCCGTCGTTTTGACGTCGTTAAAAGGTAAAACGGGATATGCATCGCGACCTCGACCGCATCCACAACGCGCATTTCGAACGTCAAGTGGATTTGTCCAGTTCTAGTCGAATTGGTTCTAGTTAACAATGCCCATTCTTTCGATCAATTTGTCTCCTTCATATTTTTTTCTATTCCTTTTATGTTTATTATTATTATTTCTTTTTTTTTACTCGTCTATAAATGTTACTCAATTTTTCTTTCTTTATCTTTCTCAAAATATAATTTTACTAATTAATGTAATAAATACAATTTTTTTCTCTCTCTCTCTCTCTCAGTCTTAGTTTCATTCTTACTAAGACTTTACATTTTGTATAAAATATTTCAAAATGCTTCATGTATGTGTGTGTGTTAATTTGATACCATATTTACATTACATATATATATATATATATATCAGCAAAATGTGTATTTATAAGTCATCGATAAAAGGTATAGGTATTTCGTGTGAATGCTGCTTTAAGGTAAATCAAGAACCCGAAGAAGTAACGTAGAAGCGGAACAGAGGAGGGAAAGGAGGGTTTCTCGCACACCTGTCTGAATCTCGAGTAACGAGCCAAGAGAAACACAAGGCGACCCTACGAATTCGTGTTGCTGCTCCTTTGAGTTACTTCTTATTTCTCTTTCTCTCTCTTTCTCTACCTCTCTCCTTCCTTCCTTTTCTCATCCCCAAGCTACCAACACGCCATCCTACTCTCTGTCCTTTCTCTCACTTTTTATTTCGTTGTGGAGCACCGAGCCAGGACGTATAGCCCAGAAAACCGGTTCCTAGTAGTATTTATGCACTGGATCCAGCCGTAAACGTAGAGAAACGCATAAGGTACTTCCAAACGAACTACCCTGCCTTCACTCCCTCTTTCCTTCATACTCATCTCGGTAAGAGTACTTTGCTTAAGAGAAATGTGTCTTTTCCACGTACGATTTGTTTTCTCTCTTTCTTTTACTATCATTTTTATCATTCTTTTTGTTTTTACCTTTCTCTTCCTTATTTCTTTTTCGACGTCTTTTCACTCCTTTCCTACTTTCAAACAAACAATCTCACGCCTGCTCACCCTACAAAAAAAAAGCTTCCTTTGCGAACCCACGCACAATCTTATTAAGACTTTTTTTTTTTAGACTGAATTAAAAACGATCAAATTATTTATTTCTTCTCTTTCCTTCGTTTCGTTTCGTTTCATGTGTTTCTTCTTTCTATTAATAATATACCTAAATAATATACCAGATAGATCAAATTCCTAATGGTAATATCCGATAATTGAATTTTGAGGATATATATATCAATAATACTGTCTGTAGAGCATGAATTATTTATTCATTTATACAATATAAATGTTCTTCTCTCAAATCACGTCGAATAACACTGAATAACAAGAGCTATTCAATCTCGTTCAATCATTAATCATATCCTATATGAATTAGCCGTCAATTTCTACCAATAAAATTTCCAAAATTGAAAGGATAAAGGAATGATCTAAAAAGAAATAAGAAAAGATTTAATATTTCGATGAAATTTCCTGGGAATTTCTATTTACTTTTTCTCTGTTTCTCCTGTTTTCGATGGTATTGCTGTTGCCGTTGCTGTTGGTGGTGGTGATGGTGGTGGTGGTGGTGGTGGTGGTGATGTAATGATGGAAAGAAAAGAAAGAGAAAACAAAAAGCCACGGTGAGGTCTTCTTTTCGTCGACCTCGTTAAAAATGCAAACGAACGAACGAGAAAGTTTTTCGGGCTTGTGTTCTCTCCCTTTCGTCCTTTGCTACGTGGGCAAAGGGAAACGGCTCGTAATGGGTAATTATTCCAATGCATCTCGAATAAAATTTCGTTGATATAGAATAATCAGATTCTCGAGAAATCTTTTATTTCTATATCTATTGAGAACACTAAGAAAAAATCGTCGACTTTGTTATCGCGACTCGGTACTCCCATCTTTAAACGTTTCCATCCTGACCACTCCGAAAGAAAATTATCTGATCTTTTCTAGACGTCCTATTTCGTAAGAGTCAACTTTAAAAGTCTCTTTATTCTACCTCTTTCCATTAATCTTTTTCTATCTCTCTCTTTCTTTTTATAACATGCCCGATCATTAACGATACATTTCTTTGGAAAACTAGCAAAACGAGGAAAACTACGTAATTATTTTTCATACTGTTCAAATGAGAGAGAAAAAGAAAAAAAGAAAAAAATAATGAAAGTCGATTGCAGAGATCATTTCAGTTGAAGACTAGCTCGTCCTATATTCAATTATCCCGATCTTAGATTTCGTAGGTAGAAAAAATCTTTCTACTCCTTTTTTTTTTGTTAAATACACTGCCAATTTCATAGAGAGGAAACCTCATTGAAATAATCTAATGTTTTTTCTATTATTTTTAATAGCGAATTAAATACAGAAATTCTGATTTTACGCAGATAGAAAAATTTTATTTCAGTATTTTATCGATACGATTATATAATTCTTTTTAAAATTCTTATTAAACTAAATTTAAATGTTTCAATATCTTTCTTTTTCTTATTCGAATAATCGTATTATGAAATCATTATTCGAGTATCTTCTATTCGAACAGAATTTCGATCTATCTTAGATTTTTGATAGAAGATAATTAGTCGGGGAAAACGTTTATTACGATTACATGGAGTTTTATTTCCTTATTACTTTAATCTTTCTCGCACGTACTCATACGAGTTATTAGATCGGGAACAAATTAACTTTGTATTCTGGGGGGGGGGGGGGGTAGTATCGTAAAAATATGTAATGTAAGACGTTGAGAGTGCAAGGGATGATGCACGGCTTCGTGGCCTTGAGGCCACCTGGCACGATCATCGAATTGAGATCGTAAGTTTTCTCGATCCTTTGATTATCTACAGTAAAAATAAACTTAATCAGTTTTTTTTTTCTTTTCCTTTTTTATCCGTCTTCTCTTCTTATTTTTTTTCGATAGACAAAAATAATATTATTCAATTAAAAATCATCTAACTCTAATCCAAATCATAAGATAAAACTTGGTAAGAAAATATACATTTATATTTCAGCCATACGCTTCTCTCATCTTTTTTTTTTTTTTTTTTATAATTGTCGAGCAACATACAACATACCTTCATATATATACTTATATACATTTATACAAAAGTAGAAAAGCAATTAGCGACAGATGCAAGTTATGAAGTTAAGCAACCGGTGACCTTTACCTACATGAGATTTAATTAAGACAGGAACAAATTAATTACAGAACTTACTCCCCGAGAAAGAAGGAAAAAGTATTCTTTTACTTGGAAATTAAATGTAAATATATGCAAGAAAATCTTATGAATGAACAAAAATATTGACGAATAAAAAAATGTATTTCTACTTTTACATTAGATAGATCAGTTTAAGATCTTTTTAATAATTATTTGTTTGTTCATTTACATTATCAATCAGTCGTATATTTTTTTATTACATTCACATATTTACTGATATCATATGTCCATATATACGTGTAATGACATGAAATGAAATATCACTTGGTATATATATTTTAACACTAAACGTACCGATGACCCGTCTTCAAAAAATCATGTATTTTACAATATAAGTTTAGCAAAAAATATATCACTTATACAATAAAAATTCTTGATTCACTAAATAGCACTATAACTTGTAAGAAATAATGCCAAAATAGTACATATTTGATCGGTCATGGTACGTTTAACGTTAATTACTATACCCGTAGGAAATGATTTAACAATCAATTTACATAATCATTTTACATTTTTCTAGAAAAAATATAGACGAAATGTATATAAATGCAGATATATTTAATATAAAATGCATTCTAGTGTATATTCTATCTTATACAATCTCATCTTTTCGTAACATTACATTTACACGTACATTAATTTCTATTAAAGAATCGATAAGATTAAGATAAAAATTATCGCATTAAGAATAAATATTTAAATAGTTACTAACATACAAAAATATATCGATTTTCACAGCACAATATCATTTGCTTTTTAAATTAATTTACAGACAGTCATATGTATATGTTACATAAGATTATTATTGCGACAGTATACTGACGGCAATACCATTGGTATGAATATAAATTATCGACTAAATACTACTACGAATTTCTTAGATAATATCAAAGTGTGGTTATATCCATTTTGTTGTCTTATTTTTTGTACATAAATCAAGTATATTTCGTTGTTTTCAACGAGTAATATATTTGTACAAAAAAATCAAGCTATTTCGCAAATTCGACGGCAGATGATTCTGCTATGAGGGTAGAAATTTCTTGAATGTAACTAGGCTCGCCTAATATCGGATCAGATGGATGACTCGAATGACTTTCCTCATGAGGTTGTGGAATATCTTCTAACACCGGAACATCTTCCAGAGATAAAGTATCCAATGATGCTGTGAAAGTAAATGAATAGAAATAGAGAACTTGATATTTAAAAAAAAAAATCAAATAATAAAAATATAAAAAAATACATAATCTTACAATCATCAAGTGTCTTAATATCTTTTTCTTCTTCTGATTCGCCTATCTCATAAATATAATCATCCTCTTCATCTTCTTCTTCCATAGCGAAATGTAAATGTGATAAGATAGATATAAGTGCTAAGAAAAACAAGTTAGTTCCAATACCAATGATGGCTGATAAAATAGGCCAATGATACATCAAATAACGTAGGCCTGACAAATGCGCATTGATAACTAATAACGCAGAATAAAATTCAATGAATCTTGATTCAATTTCAACATGAACTAATGTAACCGGACGACTCTGAAATTAAAATAAAGATTAATTAATATTTTGTTATAATCATTTTTATAAATACTTATCGTAAATACATACTTGATCTTCTTCAAAATTTCCAAATAATTCAAGGACAAGAGTTTGTTTCTCTTCTGTAGTTCCAGAGATCATCATAGGTGAAAATATAAGAGTACTAAGTGTGTGTAATAATGTACTGCGATAGTGCAACATTGCTGACCTGCAGACACGTTCCACAACAAAAGCATTTCTACTATGTAATCGTGCACATACCATAAACATTCCTATATATAAATAAATATGTATAAAAGGATAGATAGAAAATAATTTATTTAATTGGTATTGAGTAATAAGTATATACCAAGTTCCTTATTCACAGGAGATTCAGGCATTTCTAGATGTAAGTTAATTTTATAAGGCTGACCAACCATGAATAGGCTTTGCTTTTTTGTCAATTCTACCATGGCCGATGGAAAATTGCACATACCTCTTTTGTTATTGCATGATCTATTAATTTTAAAATAATATTTTAATTTACATACATATATATAAACAAATATACATAACATTTATTTACACAAATATATAAATCTCTTTGTATTGGAACTCACTGGAATTGCAGGTGTATCGGCCGCATATATGACATACTAGGCATGTATGCATAGTAAAACGCTATATAGAGAAATACAGATAACCAAACAATGAGAATAGCACTGCTAATAATAATGCCTCCACGAAAAACTGCATCCTTCACTGATCGTATTTTCCGTGTTGTTTTCTTCTGCATACTTAACCATTTCTGTATTATTTGTTGCAATGATCTTGAAATTAACATTCTGAGCAAGTATATTTTGTTGTTAAAATTTAAAATTAATAAGTAAATATTAAATATAAAATTAAGTTCGTCGTTACAAGTTATTAAAAAAGATAAAATAAAATCTGTCGTCTATTCGTATTTGGTTTATCACGTCATATAAAAATATAGGTTATGAACACCTATGCTTAAACTTTTTACACAATTTAGATTATTAAAAAAAATCGGACAGATGGCTCGACTGTAGACCAATAATGAAATATAACATAAATGTAATATAAATCAGCAACATATAAATGGAGAGACATATCCTATACAATTTTATTATATTATTGACAATACAATCGCAAATTGAAATGTAAACCAATTTTTTTTTCTTAATAAATATTTATCATCTCTGTTAAAAACTTCGTTACTGGATAGTAACAAAATTTTTCAATATAATTAAAATTATAATAAATGGAATATTTAAAAATTTTCCATACATTTAAATAAAACTTCAAAATATTAAAATATTACTTTTATGCAATACATTAGGAACATTAACAATCTTTTGTTTTTCTTTGTAATAAATGTTTATGTGTAAGCAAACACTGCAAAAACTCATTGTCTCTTGGCAGGATAAATAAGTACTCTTCGGTATAAATGACTTACAATTACATGATTTTTTTAGACCTATTTACATATGATAAGACACGTTTTATTGATTTCTGTGAATATGATGGATTATTAAAATATTTATTTTCCTTTTCTATGCTCTAATCTTGGTCTGCCTTTCTTTGTTGTAGGTTTATCTTTTCCTTTATTCAATAAGGGGTGTGTTTCTGTAAGCAGACCCATTTTATCAATGTTATTTTAAATTAAAGGTTTAAATTAAGATCTATTATATTATATATTATCTAGTATAAGTTCTACCTCCAATAGGTGCACCTTGTAAATCGATATTATGTGAACGATGTTTTTTTATTGGCGGTTCATGAGGAGAAACTTGGGTATCCTCTGAATCTTCAACATCTGGAGATATCGGTAAAAATTGAAGAGAACCTATATCTTCCGTCTCTTCGTCTGAACTGCAAAAGGCAGCAACTCTAACGATAGATGCTACGTCTACTTCAATTTCTTCATCTTGAGCTTCTTCTCCTTGTACTACAGACTTATCCTCGTCGCTTAAATCAAATTCACTTTCTCTCTCTTCGTATTCTACATTTTCGTCTAATTCTTTAAAATCTGGCGCAAAAGCAGACCAATTTTCAACTTGATTTTGTGCCCAAATAGAAACTACACCAGATGAAATGGAAGCTATGATAGGTCTTACCGGATGCCACTGTTTAATAGATAAATTTAGATTTTATTATTATATTTGTATATTAAATTTTGTATGCATGTATATGTATTAAATTTTTAACACATACCACAACATCTAATAATAATTCTCCTTTAGTTCCATGTAAGATTTTTACTAAATTTCCAATACTTTTTTCCCAAACATATAACGCATGTTGTCTAGCAGATCCGGCGCACACATATTCTCCATCTCCGGAAAAACAGCATTTTTTCCACATAGTCTTATTTACAAGATCTTGTAGTTTTTGAATTGGCTCTGGTTCGCCATCTTTTCCACATGCCAATATCTCTATACTATCATACACGCGAATAACTCTATCGGAAGTATTAACAAGAAAACACGAACCACGCCTTGCAAATTCAATACTCTTTACTGCCGTGTTACTGGCAGTACCTTGTGAAATTTTGTAAGATGCTTTAACGGTTAAAGATTCTGCATCTAAGACCAAAATTCTGCCACGAGCATTTCCAGTATATACATAATCACCTCTTCTATCAAATGATGCTACTATATTTAAATCGCTCTGGAAATAAAATGCAATAGATTAAGTAATTTATATTTAACATTTATATATAGATATAGATATAATGATATATATAAATATTAAATACATCTTCATCAAGAGGTATGACTCTATGGGTGCCTTCGATGTCAACCATTACAGCAGCATGTCTCATCGGACATACTAAAAATTTATTTAAGTTTCTCGGATGAAATTGAACTTTCAAGATTGGAGAAGGAAACCTATATTTTTGATCGCATTCTCCAGACAAAACATCCCATATACAAACATTATTATCTGTAGATGCGCTCAACAATTTGTGCCCATTTCTGGACCAACTAAATAAATGGAAACATTCATAAAAATATTATATATTTGTGATTATAGAAAATTTATCTATTTAAAATCAAATGAAGTATACCTCAATGAACAAACAGGATGTACATGTGCACTAATTATTTTTGCAATCCCACGCGTTAAAAAATCCCATATAACTATTCTACCATCATTACAACCAACAGCAAGTAGAGTTCCTCGTTTGTTGAATGTACATGTTACAGCAAGCGATATACAATCCAATGTACCGTCAAATTCCTAAGAAAATAATTAATTACAAATTTTAGTCTTGATTTATACAATTAATATGATGATATAATTAGAATTAAATACTCACTTCTGGATAATTTTGTCCAAATGATTCCAATAGTTCTAAATTCATTTTTATATATATTTATATTATTTTCCTTTTCTAAATTATAATTATTGTTTATAAAGTTGATCTGATGTTAAATCTTTAGTGGAGAGAATAATACAACACCGAGGTACCAACATTTCATTAGGATTTAACTGTTGGTAACAATGCTGATGTTCTTATCGACGTCAGTACCAAGGATAACCGAATTTTAAGTTACAATTATTAATAAACATTAATATACATTTTATATTACAGAGTTATTAATATACATAGAATATAAAATAATTATAATCTGAATTTTCATTGAATAGTAATTTTTAGTATGAAGATCTTTTAAGAAAAACTCTCAATTTAGTTACGCTTTCAATAGTTACCTTTCCCTTCAAGTTAATCTTCTACCTTTTTATTTTTATTAAATTTATTATTAGTGATATATTTTAAGTATTTAAATATTATTAATTTTTAATATTTTTTTGTATTGCGATAAAAAAAAGTTCGGTAACTTTTAAATTTCATGGGCTTTAATTCTCACTGCTTAAAAATTACTAGATTGATTAGTAAGTACAGGTATTTTTTAAAAACGAGTATTTGAAGAGCGCGCCTTTTTCAGTTTAGTTTAGTACCTACAGATGGCATGAAAACTTAATACAGAAATTTACATTGCGTTTATGTATGCGCTATCATTCAGTCTAATCCTCCGTGATATAAACGTAGTGACAGAAATAATTTTTAATAATTTTCGAAATCACATACATAAAAAATTGAATGTAAATATATCGATGGATTAATAAAATATATATAAAATTATATGTAATCGTTTAAAATTAATATTTGCACGCATTATAATAAAATTGAAAGATGACAGAAGAAGGAAAAAAAATTTCTTTTGGTTTTGCCAAAACCTTAAAGAAGCCTATATTAAAAAATAAACTTCCTCAGGAACAAAAGAAAGTTGATTATATCGAATGTCTAGATGATAAAGATATTAAAATTATTGGGTAAGTGATAATAATATATTTTATTTTAATATAATTTAAACAGAAGTTATTTCTAACCTCATTATATTAGAAAAATAATGAGAAGTAATTTTCGAAGTTATTGCATGTATGAGAAGTAATTGTTTAAAATGTGTTTTTTATATTGTAGAGAAGAAGAAAAAAAAGATGAACCTCTGGTCATTCCATTGTTGGGCTCAAAAATGTGGCACGACAGAATTGTCAATAAAATAGATGCAGACATTTTTGAACCTAAACTAGTGCCAAACGAAGAAGTAAAAGTACAAATTGATGTTAAAAAAGAAACGAGTAGTGAAATAACTAATGGAAATACTACACCAATTCATACTGACATTCCTCATGCGGTTATTAAAACTGAGCCAGTGGATACGACGTCTATAGAAACTACTGGAAGTAGTTTGGAAGAACAAGCAGCTAAAGAAATTATAGAAGATTTAAAATCTACAGGAGCTAAAGGAACATCTGAAATTTTAACTTTACCTATAATGGAGGAAGAAAAAGCTTTGAGGGGAAAAGAAGAAGTAAGTTATAAATCATATCGATTAAAATTTTATTATTTATAAAATTCTCTCTAAATATTATATTCATATTAACAGTCTACTTTAGAAGATTATGAACGAATTCCAATAGAGGCGTTTGGTTTAGCAGTATTACGTGGAATGGGATGGAAACCGGGACAAGGAATTGGTAAAAATGAAAAGTAAGAATCTATTCTAATTTACGAATACTATAAGTAAAAATAAATTCTATATATCCGTTTAATTCTTCTTTTATTTTATATTTTACAGATTAGTAACGACTGTTATACCTGAATTACGTCCAAAAGGAATGGGTCTTGGAGCGGATAAAATAACAATACAAAAACAAGTAACTAAATCTAAGGACAAAAAAGAAAAAGAAATACAAATTGAGAAAGGTACCTATGTGAAGATCACAAGTGGTAAATATGTTAATGCTTATGGTCAAATAGAAGGGTTAGACGACGATGCTGGAAGATTAATTATCAAAATGGCTTTGGGAGGAGACACAATTTCTTTAAATGAATTTATAGTTCAACCGGTGACGAAAGATGAATATGCTGAGAAAGCTAAAGTTTTAAGTTAGTATACAAATTATATTCTTTATCAAGGGATCTTTAAAAGGTCGATGTAATATTCTACAAGATATAATCTACATCTAACGTAGATATATATTTATGTTAAAAATAATTTACAATGTTTTTTACAAAAAGTTAATATTAAAATGCTTTTTAAGGATCTCTATTGCTATTGCATTATCTTAATAGGTGTTGAAAGTTTAGTTTTTAGTATTTTATGACACTGATTTCAGATGTAGCGAAGTATAAGGAATATAAAAGTAAAGAAAGTCCTAAATTAGAAAAACGTCCGTCTTTGGAACCTAATAAAGGTAATCAAGATAACGAAAAGGAACAATCCAAAAAGGATGAAAGAGGTAATACTGAAAGACATAGTGGTAAAAAAAGAAAGAAAAATGATGATCATAAAACAAAATCAAAGAAACACAAAAGACACTCGTCGGTCAGCGATAGTAGTGTCGAAAGAAAAAGCAGAAAGAGAAGAAGTTCTAGCAGTAGCAGTGGTAGCAGTAGGCATAGAACAAAAAAATATAAGAAAACTAAAAAAGCTAAAAAACATGGTAATTCGGCGGAACAATCGAGTAAAAAGCGAAAGAAGAAGGATAAGGAACGTGAAACAACTGAAGACAAACATAGTTACAATAGCGAAACTTTAGATAAAAAGAAACATAAACAAAAGAGATCACGATCTAGATCACCTAAAAGAAAATCCAGATCTAGATCAACTAGAAGATGATGATATACATTTGTTAAATTAACTTTTCTTTAACTGCCAAATTCTGTAATATTTCATTTATGTACAGTGGAATTTGGGATTGCAAGTAACTTGGCTTACAAGTAAAACAAAAGCTGATAAAAAATTTTTGATTTGATTAACGAACGATGTCTCACAATACAAGCAGTACAAAAATGCTTGGCAAACTACAAGCATATTCGTAGTAAATAAAGTGCGAATTAACTTGTTTAATTTTTCTTAGTATTTTGTATTTTATATTATTTTTATATGAATTAATAATTGTGGAACTAATAATCTAATTTATCATTATGTATTTATTATGATGATATTTGCTTTGATATACGAATGCTTTTGATTACAAGCACATTTCTATAATGAATTATGCTCGCAAACCGAGATTCCACAGTATCATTTTATCTCTTAATAAAATTTATTTTTGCATACATTTTTATATAAATCTATTTTTAATTCATAATATCTAGAATGCATGAAAATCATCTTTTCAATGGCCTTATCTAGTTGAAAAAACTAATTTCCATATAATCACAAAAGTTAAACAACTATGAGAACAATTAAGGCAGTTACCTATTCGAGTATTAATTGTACAACGCACTATTTTTAAAGAACCTCTCACCTGTAGAATGGAGAGTAATAACGAAAGAATCTATATAAATATTAATTATCTTGTTTATTATATATAAAACTCGTATGATGATATCTTGGACATATACGTGGTTTACATTTTTGATTAGATTAATCTTACGTCATCCTGTACATATTTTCTCTCAAACTATATCTGCACTTGAATACTGCATTCATGCCATAACCTAAGTATCATGCTACATACAAAGATACTCAAGCAGAGTATCAGGACCATGTCAAGTACGTAAAACAACCAAATATAATAAAATTCATCAATACTATAAAAGATAATACTTTATTGCCTTTAATATATTTGACTAATTAATAAATTAGAGAGAGAAAACTTAATATTTGATTTTATAATCACAGCACTCCGTTTAGCGTTAGTACAACTTGCTGTGGGTGATGATAAGACGAAAAATTTGACACGAGCTGTTGATTATATCGAACAAGCTAAAAAAAATCGTGCGGACATCGTCGTATTACCAGAGTGTTTTAATTCTCCTTATGGAACATGTGTGTAAATATTATTAATTATATTTTTTTATATTCTACTTAACAATATATAGTAAACAATGTATAAAAATGAATGTAGCAGGAATCTTCACTTTAAAAATTAACTATACAGTAAATATTAATTTGAAGACAAAAAACTAGAATCGTAGTTCATATAAGCGAAAATTCAAATCAAACAATCAACTGCCGCCTTTTAAACATGATTTACTTTGCGTGTATATTTTATTTATTTAAAAAGATCTTTTTTATTTGGCATATTTGTAACGTAAATGTCATATATTTAAAATATAAATATGTAAATTTATTTCTTAATATAAATTTTTGTACATGCAAATTTAGCTCATTTCCCAAAATATGCAGAAGAAATTCCAAAAGGTCAGACGAGCATTGCGTTGTCTGATGCGGCGAAAAAAAATAATATTTGCGTAATTGGGGGTACAATTCCAGAAAGAGATGGCGATAAATTGTATAATACTTGTACGATTTGGGGACCAGATGGAAAAATGATAACCAAATACAGAAAGGTGATAATCATTTATTATTTCTACATCGTTTAGTTTATATAAAACAAAACAAAAAAACAATGTACTTTAAAACCTTATAAAAGATATTTTTATTTTCTAATATTCATAAAAATACATCCACAAATATTCATGACAGAGATAAAAATTTCCATTTCAAAAAATACGAGTCGTTGAAATTTTACTTTTAAAAATTGTCTTCTCTTTCAACTGCTAACATAAATCTCTTTATCGACAGATGCATCTCTTCGATATCGATATCAAAGAAAAAATTACGTTTCGCGAAAGCGACTCATTAACTCCTGGAAATTCTTTGACCACTTTCGAAATAATGGGATGCAAAATTGGGATCGGCATTTGCTACGATATTCGTTTCGAAGAATTGGCTAGACTTTATAGAAATCAAGGTATATTTAAATCAAATCTAAATTCTTTCAATTCATAAATTTACCGATAGTAAATCCATTTTGTTAGGCAATTAAATCTTGTTATTACAGGATCATAATTTTATTAATCACATTTTTCATTTTTATTTTAAATTAAGAAAAAAATTTGTTTTTAATTGTTATGATATTATTTTCTCGTCAATAGGTTGTAAAATGTTAATATATCCAGCAAGATTGATACTCATATACTAAGAGTATAAATCGAGAAAATATCTTTTATAGGATCAAAATTTTTGCTATCTTTTTATTTTTTATAATATTATTTGTTTTTCAATTTTATTATTAATTTTTCGTTTGTTCCTCATCAATAGGTTGCCAAATGTTAATATATCCAGGTGCATTTAATTTAACCACCGGTCCACTGCATTGGTCGCTTCTGCAGCGTTCTAGAGCAAATGACAATCAATTATACGTCGCCTGCGTATCACCAGCTCGTGGTTCTCCTCCTGGTTATATTGCATGGGGACACACGCAGCTAACTAATCCTTGGGGTGAAATACTTCATGAATTAGATTCCACGGAAGACATGATCGTCTCTGATATAGGTAATAGAGAAGCTACTTGTCATTAGAGAAACTTCTACTTGAATGTCATTACGAATTCCTTACCTCTCTCATTTACATACGCAGTTAAATAGAATCTTAATTATTCCCAATGGTATTAAACTCACTAAACTAATAACTATATTGCAACAATAAGAAATTGATTATTTCACAGATCTCAAAGTGATTGACGAGGTAAGAGCTCAAATTCCAATTTTCGCACAACGACGTACGGATTTGTATAACACAATTTGGAACAAGTAACTATACTTTTTCAATAAATAAAAACGTCTTTTTTAATATTCAAGCTACCAATAAATTGTTGTAAATTAATATATATATAATGGTTGATATACATAAATAATATATATTTTGTATGGAGGTTTTGGGCAAATATAAACAGCAATTTCTTTATGAGATTGAAATACTCGTATTAATTTTAATTTCTTATATCAAACTAGAAAATAAAATTGGGATTACGTTGATCTTTCGTATACACATTGTTTCAATATTATTTCAGTAATTTATTGAAATTTTTAATGTTGATTTAGAATGATTATTCATACATAAAAGGCCCCTTGATGATTAAACGACATAATTACAATGAAAAGTAATTACGTATTGTTATATATAGCAAGATTATTATTATTATTAATATTAATTATTTGTAAGATATTTCCTAGATATGTATTTACATTGAAATAATTAATTAATACTTCTTCTTTTCTTGTTTTTTCCATATCCGTAAACGTTAGGCTTTAAAATTTTAAGCTTAGAGAAATTGGTCGATTAATATTGAATACAATGGCTTCTCGTTATTTTTTTTTTTTCTTTTCGAAGAGAGCAAAATACAAGAACTTTTATTTTTCTTCGCAAAACGCACGCCTCCTCATCAAATACAAATACGTTCAACATTCATTAAATTGAATTCTTCTCCGCTAATAAATTCATACATTCATTCTTTTATATCTCTTAAGAATATTCTACAAAATAATATAGCAATAATCGCGTAATGAATCTTTCTCAATAACTGACCTACCATTATTTCATTAAATGTTATTTTATAAAACGTAGAATAATATTGAAATAACGTGTGTATGTGTGTGTATGTGTACATATATATATATATATTTATTTATTTATCGCGCGATCATGTTCATTAATATTCAATTAATTTAAATAATGAATATATTGCAAATATTTAAACAGTTCATTTTTGAGAGATTTTGTTACCCTCAGTATAACCCGTTGATGCACGGGTATATTTATTTACAATTAAAATTAATTTTTAATTGATCGTGTTTTACTGTAACAACAATACTGTAACAAATATAAATACGTATTAGATAAATATGTGTTCGTCAATCCGGTATCCAAAAATGCAATGTATTGATTTTTGTTTTGTCGCACTAAAATTATGCTTGACAAAAATTTTCTTCTGTTATTTATAATAATTTCGGATAATAATAATTATAATTTATTCTTAATTACGCTTAGAATAATTAGTTAATGGAGTAATACTAACAATAAAATATTCCATGCCTACAAAACGCTTCGGCCAAGAGTATTCAACACTCGAAGGATTAAAGCAGAAATATGAAAGAAGAGTTTGGAAGAGAGGGTAATAACGAATAATTTTTGTTCTTTTACAAATCGGACGAATTTTTTTCGCTATTGTCGCAATACAGTATGTAAATACATAAATACATATGAGTATGTATGTATAATTCGAAGAGATAACGTGGTCGCATCGTATCGAATAAATATTTTCGTTGATAACACCAAATATCGTGCTCTTCATTTTTTTTCTTTTTTTTTTATATATTTTATAACTTATTTTAATTTTTTTTTGTCTAAAAAATATTGGTCACGTGAGACGACGTATTTGATATTTATGTCCGAATTACGCGGAAAAAAGCGTCTTAACGGCTTTACAATTGATTGCGTTAGAAGAATTAAAGTAGATAAGTTAAAAAAGTTGAAGAAGAAGAAGAAGTTTAAGAAGAAGAAAAATTAGAACAAGGAAAGAAAAAATCAATATTATTATTTCATATATATATATATATATATATGTATGTGTATATATAAAGATAATTTTTAATTGATATTGTCCATACACGCGCACGTGATTTTTGAAAAATTTTAAGCTCGGAGAGAATAATTTCGATTATGTCGATATATAACGAACGATATTATATAAATACCCTGTAGCAATAAACGGAGCACCACAATGAGAAAAAAGCAATTCCATTGATACACCGCAATTTATATATTCGCCAGTCTATGTTTTACGTCACTTCAAAGACCACAAGGAAGTGTTGCTGCACTTCGGAAAGATAATTAGGCCATTAAATGTAGTCGTTAAAATAATAATCATACGTATTATACATCTTGTGTAACATTTCTCGTTTTTGATCATTCTATATTTTAATACTTTGTAGTAATAATACTTCAATCAAAAAAAATGATTTCTTTCTTTTATCGAAATTTTAATATTCAATATTAGATTTAATTAAATTAATAATTTATAGATAATTTTTGTAATTATTTTTTTCGTAATAATAATATTGAATAAAATATTTAATTAAATCTAAAAATAATTTTACGATTCAATTAATTGCATTTTCAATTATATTCTTTTTCTACTAATTGTAAGATTTAAATTAATAGAAATTATTGTTGCAAAGTTGTATATGATAAACAATCGTGATTTTTCTTGAAAGATTATTTGAAAGATAACAAATCTTTCAAATCAAATTGAATCGAATAGAATCGTGTGTCGATGTTCAAATCTCAAATATGATTTTTCGAAAAGCTTTAAATTTGATCGCTTTTCTCGTCGTCTAAATTCAATGACATTTTATCGTTCGTATATTTCTTTAACTCTCTCTCTCTATCTCTCTCCCTTTTTTTCTTTCCCTTCCTTTCACACAAATTTGTTCAACTTCTCTTCCTTTGTTGGAATTAATCATCGAAATTCCCCGTACGATTGCCGTTTGAGTAACACGTAAATTGACGAATCCCGCAATTTCTCATTTCGAGGTATTGGTGGAAACTTTTTTCAACTTAATAAAGTTTCTTTCCCCCGTTTCATTTCATACGCAGCATTTGCTTTGATTTGCTTAGCAATTTACAACACGGTTTGTATATTATTTATTTTACACAAATCTGAATGAATATTCGAAGAAATTTAGATCGCACGAAAATCGATTCAAATGAAATACATCTTTGTGAATACGACTATTCACGTACGAGTAAAACTGATCGAATTTTCTTAAAAGCGTAAATTGAATCGTTAAAGTGTTTTTGATCGTGTTCAACAGCGTGTGATGGAACATATGTACAAGGTATACAAAAATGGCATATCATCATTTTACTTGTAAAAATTTGTCAGCAAGAATATTACGCGAAGGGATTCACAATTAATTAGAAAATGATTGAATATTTCATTTTCTTTATTGTCTCTTTAACGATGAATTTAATTTTAATTAGAGACCACCACCACCACCACAACCAATATCGATTATTATATTTGATTAGAGAACATTACTTACTTTTATATAGCCTGCACATAAATTACATCACACGTTCGCTCTCGATTATTCTCAAATCTGCAAAAGTACAAGCATGCAATATTCAAGAGATTAGATTTTTATCGATATTTAAGTTGGACATATAAAAAGAATTTTTTCTTGTTAAAAAACTTTCACACACACACATACACTTGTACTAATTCTAACAAGAAGATAGGTCAAGAGTCAAGATTTTTAAATATACATTTATGTATGTATATATATATATATATATCAAGAAGATAGGTCAAGAGTCAAGATTTTTAAATATACATTTATGTATGTATATATATATATATATATATANTTGGCGTACGCGCGCGTGCACGATTATTCTTCAAACTAAGGCCAGGTAACGTTTAGATTGTTGTATGCGAAATTTATATATATATATGTGTGTGTGTCTTATTTCGGTATATATTAAGACGATATGTATTAATTAATTAAATTAATCAATCGACGTTCAAATGATTTGGAAAAAAGGAAATAATTATCATTAATATCAAGTAATAGAAATAAATATTAGGGAGGATAAATTAGCTTTCGGAATATCTTACAAATTTACTTGGTCCTGACCGATATTCAACTTATACGGGGTATTATGTTTGAACACGACCTCATTGTTAACTCACGTTACGAGCTTATGTGGATTTGCTCGGGTTAATACATTTTCATTCTTAAAATACTATCCCTTTTCTTTTTGTCGAGAAACAACTATCGTAAATTCGTGAAAAAATTAAGGTCCTTCGTATATTTCACACAACACGCGCCAAAAACACACTCACACACGTAAATATTCTTTTAAACATGATTTAACTTCAAACTGACAAGCTAAATCGTAGAATGTAATACAGTTTCACATATTCCATGTTCCAAATATTTCATTATTTTTATTATAGAAAGAATAAAAGGAAAATGTGCGTTAGGCCAAGTTGGATAAAATAAAATAAAATAAAATAAAATAAAATAAAGAATATTAAGTTACGAAATTTTTTCTTACACCATAACCCGTAGATGAGTATTAAAATATAATGTATATTCCTTATGGTAATTCCTTTTTCATTTAATTAAAATTCTAGTTCGCATATAAATCCTTATCGATATCCCGTTAAATCCTTTCAACGTTAAATTATATTCGAATTTCCTCTGATCTACTCTGCTTTCCTTTGATCTGCTCAGATCTCTTCTGCGCAATAACGAGTCTTCTCAATTTATTATTTTATAAAGTCTCTGTACAATTGTACAGGATGAATTTAATGGCATGTCGAAGAAGATTACTCTATTCCGTATGTGATCGAAATAAAGAGAAAAATCTTTTTAAGAGTTCGAATCGAATGTAATTAAACGAGAGAAGAGATTTTTTTCTTGACACTTTGAACGATTTATCATGTACACTTGTGTTAACTTTTTTTTTATCAATTTATCTTCTTCTTCTTTTTACGCTAATTTTACATCCGTTACTTTTCATCTCCTTTATTTTTATTTAATTCCCAAGGTCAACGTTAATATGTATAATCTGTATAAATAAATTCCGGAAAAAAAGAAAACGAGAAAAAAGATTTCGAAAAGCACGATTAACCGAAAGCTAAATATTATTACCTTTCTTTACAATTGTGTCCGAAATTTTTCAACGATCCAACTTTTCCGTTTATATTTTACAAGTAGAAATAAGAAAAACAAATGTATAAATGTATGTATCCCACAAGCGTCATAAAAAGAGTTACATAGTAAAATAATACGAAAGCTGATGGACATTTTAAGCATTTCGTATGAAGATATGTCAATAATTTAAAGAAATGACTCGTTGTTATCCTGATATTACTTTTATATCTGATATTACTTTTTTAATTTATAAAGCGTTTGCTTATAATATGTACGTTTATACAACATTGCGTTATTCATACTCATAAAACATATCAGTTAAATCAATTAATTGTTTATCAATATATATGTTTAATATTATGTTTAATAGATAGTTATTAAATATTACCTCGATCGTTAATGTTCAGAGTCTTTTGATTGAATCAGTATTGTTTTAATTACATGTTTAAATTTAACGATTTATAGATGCTAAGTACAGTTTTATTATTAAAAAAATATAAGAAAATATAAAAGAGATTCTGAACATTAACGATCGAAATAATATTGATATATAACTATATATTAAATGTTTGATAATATGTATTTTTAAAGTCGTAATATATTTTAGTTGCTGAAGAAGTCACGATGGAGGGATGAAACGTTCAATAAGAGATCGAAATATAATATTCTAAATTCTTACCTTGTCCAACTTCCCTGCGACACATTTATTAATATCAGTTAAAGTTAGATTGTTTAAAATACCTAAGAAACCGTGTATACGACGACGTTCACTTGCCGTTTCTACGTATATCAAACTTTTGATATGAACTGATATAAATACGTATCTTCTTTGAAACTTCTTTTTTCACTCTTTTGGATAAGAAAATACTATCTCTTTTTCTCTATCTGTATTCAGGTCACTATGAAAGTTTTTTAAACTTTCTATGAGAACCCTATTCGTGACTTCATACTTCTTCATGGCTTGCTCAAAATATATCTGTATCTACAGTTACTACTAACTATATTTCTTTCTATCTACTAAACTTCAAGTTTCGAAGTCAATATGGTCATTAAGATGGCTGCAGAAGTATCATAAGAAACTAAATACGTCTCTCTCACGTTCATCATATCTTCCTTTTCTTTTTATTTTTTCCTTTTTCTAAATTACTTTTAACATTTTTACTTACTTCAATTCTTTTCTCTTTTCTTTCCGAAGATGATATGTTATTTTTTGTTTGAGGTATGCAAGTATGTGAGTGTTCATCGTGTTGTGTATTTAAAAGGACATACAACAATATCTTAGGATTCGTCAAACAAAAGCTCGTAACAATTTTTTTAGAAATATTTTAATATATTTACCTCTATCTTTCTCTTTCTCTTTCTCCCTCTCAAAGATCGAGGTTTATTTTTTATTCTCTTAACAAAAATAACTACAAGCTTTCTCTAAGCAACCCAATGGAGACAAACGCTCTATAAAATGCAAGAAAAAACAATTAGATCATTCTGGATGAAATTATAGCCGGCGTTTCGCGAACTACGGCCCCGTTTTCTCTTTCCCAATATTTTTATCTTCTTTTTTTTTTTTTTTATTTTTAAATTCCCGTTTTAATCTTCGACGATACGTAACGACTGAATTTAATCTATTCTAATTATCTATTTATAATTATATTAATATAATTATTATTATTATTATTATTATTATTATATAATATATCGAAAAAAGAGGTGGAAAGGTATGAAGAGGTATTTACGTATAAGAAAATTTTAAGTTAATATATGTATGTATTTATGTATATTAATATATATGTGTTTATGTGTATTTAAATGTATGCATGTATATCCGGGGGCATCACTTTGCATCTAATCACAGATCGATTCTAATTAACTCATCGTATATGATGAGTTAGAATGATATTATATTATATAAATTTAAATGATCAGACGGCTTTAGATATAATCATTTCTTTTCTTTTCTTGCTTTTCCTTTTTTCTTTCATTAACCTGTCATATCTTTTTTATTTATTACCTACAATGTCCTTGATTAACAACACACACACAAACCTCCCCTAAATACCTGGCTAATTAAAGTCATTAATGAATTTATCACATGATCGTTCGTTTATTTCGTATCCCATATAATCTTTCTTCTTGTCAAAAGTAAAACAAATATTTAAAAAACAAATTTCTTCATACATATATATATTTTTTGTGTGTTTAAATCTTCAAATCGTCATATTTTTCTACGATTGAACTTCCTTATTCTTTAGTTGTTTTTTTTTATTATTCGTTCTTTTTAATTCATTGATCGAAAAATCATTGTACGGATGGTCGGTCGATAACTTTTTTTTTCTTTCGTTGAAGAAGAAGAAGATTAGATTAGATTGGATTCGTGAAAAATGGCGACGACTCTTTGTAACTTGGACGATTTTATCTTATTGGCCAAACGTCTCATTTAATGACTATTCTTTTCGATCGAAATAATAGAAATAGATGAGATTTCATCGCATTTGGTACACAGCAACAAGAGCAACAGCAACAAGAGCAACAGCAGCAGGTAATTGGTCTCGAAACTAGGACAGGGAGAGAAGAGCGACAAGAGATGTCGTCAACCAGAAGACTCCTTGATCCTGTATCCTCGATGATCCATCGACAATTATTAAATCCGGTCCGGTCCAATCCAGTGCATCATCTATGCCATCCAAACACTCGAATTCGCAACAACGCTCACCAACACGGAATTTCTTGCATCTCTGAGAAATGAAAAACAATTTTGAATCATAATTAATATTCTAGATATAATTATTATTTTAATTATAAGACATATTTTATGAATATTATATTTTTCATATTATATGTTATATTAATATTGTGTTAATAGTTTCTCTCCAGATTATTTTTTCTTTTTAATTCTTAACGAGTAATTATAAATATAAACAAATTAGATAAGCTATGCTTATAATTATATCATTACAAAAATGTTTTATCTCAATAGGAATATTTTAATATTTTCCGAAAATTCTTGCGTTCTACGAAATATAAATATACAGGGTGCCCCATTTAAATCGATTCACTTAAATATCTTCGAAACTGTTGATGATAGAAAAAAATATGTGACATAGAAACCAGTGAAATTGATACTTGATATAACATTGTCTAGGTTGTATCCTGGAAATAGTAATGGCTACCAACAATCTCGTATTTTCTAAAGCTGCGATCCTGCGATTCATCCGCAGTGACCTCGGTTTTAGTTTCGCTTGGCTTCCAAAGAATTATTTCGCAAAGACGAAACCATAATATGATTTTCGTTTACTCATCCTTGTCTTTCTTTATCGACAAAATGAACTCGTAGTTTCCTGTAGGGTTCTCGGACAATAGTAAATAATTGACTTCGTTGTATTGTTCAGAATAGTGAAATTCATCCTCGTTCGTTCCATTATTCTTACTCACAAATATTTTTCTTTATTTTTATCTTTTTCCTTTTCTTTTTCTTTTTAACGATACATTAAAAAATTACACGAGCTTGTTGGAAAAGATATAAAAGTGTATACTACTTTCGTTAGATTTTTATTTCAACAACGAGTCCTCCATTATGTCGAATAATTTCTTTCATCTGTTGAGTGTTTCGGTCCCATTCAGATATGAGAAACAAAAGCGGCCGAAATGTACTCTCGTAATTTAGCGAAATAAAATAATTAGTGAGTTTTCACAATTTCACGAAGAAAAATTGTATTCTGCTGAATTTGTTCATTATTATTGCTTCAGAGTATAATATTAACAAATTCTATGGAGTAATTTTAATTCTCGAATAAATCGATCACACTTTTTTCTTAATATTTTATTTAACAATGAAATTACTTAAATGTAACATATATAATTTTAATAATAAAACAAATACTCCTATGAGAACTTCATAAAAATTTTTAGAAAATTATACAATAAACTATTAATGGAAAAAGTTTACTACCTAAACATTGGTCATAAGAAAATAATTAGAAAAAAAGCTTTTTTTCCCTTTCTTTTCTGTGCATTTCTTTTTAATTCCAATCTTGAACGAGAACTTTTAAGATCATGGTATCACGTTTATCAAATTCCATTTCAAGTCGAAAGAAAAATATCTCTAACTAAACAACAATACGAAACAAGGGGGAAATGATAAACAAGATTAGGACGTCTTTAAAATCGTGGAAAAGAAATATTCTTGATTTTTCTTCTTCTTCTTCTTCTTCTTATTTCCTATCGACGAGTAAACGGATTTACATTTTTACATTGTATGAAAACATCTTATTAGAGACGACTGGAAGATGGCACATTAAGAGAAAATTCAATAAACCGATTGCCAATCTGCTTAACCTTATCCTTGACAACGACATTACCACTAATCGTGAATAATCTTGTTTTCTATTTAAGGAAACGAAAAAAAAAATGCTATTACAACAATTATTACATCAAACGAAATAATTGAAACGATTATAAAAAATGATATCTCCACTGCAATTTAAACGCGATGGGTAAATATTAACATTGATAAAAAATTACAAACAAATAATATTCGTTGCTATATGGTAGTTACATTTTAATTACATAGACAAAAAAAGAAAAAAGTAGTCGTTCTTGGTAAAATTTAAACAAGCTTCACTAATCTGATTAGATTGGTCATATTATATCTCTGTCCCTATTGAATAATCCTATCGTAAGAATATTATTCTTCGGATTATGTAGCCATATCGTAACATGGTTTGTTTCGTATAAACAAGATAAATATATATTACGTGATCCATTTTTAAAAGAAACATATTTTTTCCGTTTAAAAATTGAACTTCCACATTTAAATCCTTGTTTTTATTTTACAAATTGTACGCGCGTGGGTGGGTTAAATAATTTTCAGTATCACCGAAACTTTTATTTTTGTAAATAAATTGAAAAAACTTTTTAAAAACCTTTTTAACCCACACCTACCACCTGTATAATAATTAAAAAATATTTCAACGTGAAATAGCAATTAATTTAAGTTTATATCAACAAAAATATATGAATACTTTTATTTTAACAAAATGAGAAAAATAACGCGATTAATGTAAACAATAAATTAAATATCAACTAACGGCATCATATAATTATTAAAATCATTGTCTCATCGACTATCTAAGCCTGAAAAGTGAAAAAGAAAATGAGCAGCTCGTTCTGGGAAATTCATTGTCGTAGTAAATTTATCTCTATAGGTAGGCAATATAATGAAAAGCTTTCGTGAGGATGCAACTTGAATTAAATTTTATTCGTTAACGAAGTAACAAGCAATTTGCGTATGAGCTCTGACATTCCGAGGCTGATATCACACCGAACAAGAGAGACGAACGTGTAACGAAAATAAAAATTTATGTTTTTGCAAAATGTATATTACTATGCATAAAACATTTGCTAGCATATCCTATCGTACATATTGAAATGTAAAAATTTGTCATAAATTTGATTAATCATATTAAAAAATTGTCTATATTGCATATCGTATTTAATATACATACGCTTTTATTTATTTGATCAATATTTTCTAAAATAAATATTCGATATATTGAAAATAATTTCGTTTTTTTTGCACAGAGATTACGTTAGTCATATTTACCGATACTCACACACTTACAATTAAACCTATAAATCATTTTACACTTTAATAATAATAGACATTTCTTGCGTTTTGATCAATCAAGTAATATAATTTTAGCATCACGTTAAAAATAGAAAATTAATCAATATTTTCGTCATATTTTCCTTTTTTTTTATATTAAGCAATTATTTTTTTTATAAAAGCATAAATATATGTAAACATTGAAAAGAACGTTGTAATAGAATTTTATAATCGTAGTTTTAGATTTTCTCAACTGAAAGTGCAACATTCTGGATATGTATATTTATATACGTGTGCTTGCGAGCGATTAAAAACGCGAGAAAAGGAGTTAACGAGTACGACTAAAGCAGAAAGAAAGAGAGAGAGAGAGAGAGAGAAAAGAGAGCAAAAAAAAAATATACGACGCGAAAATGTCCGTCCCTGAATTTAATTTTCAACAAACGATGTAGCATTTCGCGGTGTGTAGAAATTTTCCGCTTGAAGGTGACGCGTTAATAAGTTTTACACTTTTGACTTATAAACTTACACCTTTAAGCTGTTTCAACACGAGTATACTCAGATCATCAAAATCATATAATAGTTGTACTGGATATATTTATCTAGATGTAGCAATAAAAGCATTCGCACGACAATTCTCGTGAGATTGTTATCTCATACTCCGAAGTTCGTAATATATTCAAAGTATAAGTTTTAATTACTTTGGTATAATTACATGGATTCAATGCTCACAATATAAAATATAGGTACACGATTTATGTGACAAATTTTCTAACAAAGAAAAGAGAAATATGTTTTGTGATGATTGTTAAAATTAATCGTATTCGATAAATATCGATAAATATTACTTTCGATTATTTTTATTTGAATTCTATTCGTAAATATGATTTAGAATTTTTGATTCCTTAGTCGACGAGCATTATTTATTTTTTACGTTTATTTAATTTTATATAAAAGCGTGTAGATATTTCGAATTTCATTAAAATAATTTACATGAAATCAGTATTAAATAAAGTTAAAGAAAAACATACAAATTTATTGTTTACATATAAAATTACACATTTTATATGTTTTTATTCTAAGGGGGTATGACTTGAGCAACCATACTATGTAATATTAAGTATATGCTTACTAAGTGTAGCACGTTTAACGATTTTATATAGCACCAACTCGATACTGATCTCGGTCAAAGTATTTTTTTTATCGTAGGAAAAAATGCCAGTTGGCTAGCGATCGAAGAAGAAAAAGTGAGCAAAGGCTCTACGCGCGTTTATGATAAAAATGAAACTTCGTGTTATTACTAGACCATACTATTGTTCTAAATTAAATCTATCGAGCGTGGTCGAATATATATTACGTCGAGTTAGTCAGACGGTTTTTAATCTACTATTTTATTATAAATATTCATAAGCTTGTACGTACATGCATAGATGGACGGTCATGTCCATAGATGTATGAATTACACCATATTGTTCCAATTCAATGCTATTTCATATTTTTTTTTTTTTTCGGAAGATATACGAGAAATGAGAGAACGTTTAAAATTTGGTAAAATTATGAAACATTCCCAGAAAGATTTATCGTTGAGAGATGTAAATTGAAATTTTAATTTCATTTAATATTCCCATTTTATTATATTAGAAATTATGTTCATTCAATTTTGCACTAAAAAGATTTAAAACGTGCAATTGATTTTTTCTTCATTTCTAGATAATTTTAGAACACTTTGAAATACTATTTGAAATGACTATTCGAACAAATAAAATATTTTATTTTCAAAAGCCTACTTTTCTAAACAATTAATATATTTCATTTACTGTTTATAATTTAAAATAGTTTTACCCAGCTCTACCGGGTATATATATATAATAATAATAATATATATAAATTGACCATATGCATGTATGAATGCTGTGTGTGTGTAAATACATAATTGAACGAATACGATAATTGATCTATTATGCAAAAAAGTAACCTTTTACTACATCAGTCTCGTATGGATAAAACAATTTATTTAAAAGCTTTAAGTTAAAACCATATGGTTCACCGAAATCATTTTCTCGTTCGTGCATTTTACCCGTTTTCGAAAATCATTTAGATTTTATCTCTATCATTTCGCCACGTTTTTTGTTCTTTATTTTTTATTCCTCTCTCCCTTTTATTTTCACTGAAAAATCTCAAAGTTTATTAAGCTTTACTAGCATCATCACTCATCGATCGTCTCTTTTGAGATTTTATGAAAAATAAAAAAGGCCAAACGTTCAACTAGTTCAATATATTTGCATGTTTTAAAGAAGTCAATATTTTTCTATGATTTTTAGATCTACACTTTTAAAAATATTTAGAGAACCGTACACTTCGACAACAAAATCCCCTATACGAGAAGATACTCTAATTAATATTTAATAATAAATTATTCTAATTTTTTGCATAAAGTAACACCTGCAGATGACAACAAAATTCAACGAATAGTTAACTATAATATACGGATAACAATAAGGTGTAATACCACCAAGGGAAAAGAGAACATTTCATGATAACTTCAATTACTCACATATGGGGGTGTACAGTATATTGCTTGGCACCACATCGGCTCCGAGTGATAACAAACGCACAAGCTACAAACCGCAGGTCCTGGCACATAGAGAAGTCCATGCCTAACTGTTCCACCTTGAAAATCCGTACAGTTCTCCTCAAGAGCACCTATAATTCAATATTGCTCATCGTACTTTGATAACAATGAAGGATCAACTTCACTCTAATTTAACTTCCCGTTAAATTAATATTATTTATATTTAAATCTTGTGGTAATTAATATTATTAATTTAACTTGTGGTAATTAATTAATTAATTATTAGCTTGATGTGCAAAAACAATTGCCATTTTGGTTATTGTAAATTTATTTCGATTATGTTGGCGATTGCGGTGAAATTGCAACTATTGATTTTTCTTTTTTTCATTTTTTCCAAAAAAGGAAGAAAAGAAAATTTGTACGATTTTATTGTTTCATTTATATATTCAAATTGATATCTTAAAAACAGTAGAAACTGTCTGAAATATAATCCATATTTTTAGCTTTGGAACAATTATCGAATTTACAATTTGACACTGATTTTAAACCAAAAAAAAACGCATTGGAAATGAAAATCTTGTTCAAAATGAGATAAATACGCGAACGTTCTTTAAACGATTGAGGATAATTTTTTAATGTCCATCACATCGAAATGAATTAAATTAAACAAGTAAAGAAAATACAAAATTACTCGATGTTGATTGTTCGACAGTTATTCGATATTTCAATCATATAAATCTTTTAAATTCGATACTTCAAAGCTGCAATTATTTTTGCAGCAATGAAATACGATTGACGGCTGGTATTTATTCAGTCAATATTTGGAAACATTTTCGCTTCGTATTTTTAAGATACGATTAATGTGTATTACAGCTGCAATGCAACTATAACTTCTATTATAAATACTAACAAATAATTATTTATATCGAGAACAATTTATTTTCCATCACCGAACCAAAAAATATAAATTCTAATGATTATACGTGGGATAAATTAACAAATTTCTAACCCCAAAAAAACGGAAACAATTTTGATTTCAAAAGTAATAATAATTTTTTGTTTGATTTAGACTGTAAATTTTTCAATGAACCCTTGTATTAAAGCATATCACATATAATATTTATTAATATTATCAAAAATACTCACTTATTCGTGTTGGAAGTAGAAGAAACGTAAAGAGATAAAAGATCCAGCCAAAAAGGATGTTGACTCGTAACTTCGTAGCTATCCTCATCTTCACGGTTAAATTTTTTTCTTCTTCTTCTTTTTCTTTTTCTTCTTCTTCTTCTTGTGATATCGTAATGATATCCAAATTTTAGATAACCAAAGTATATCGTAATTTAATAATCAGTAAAACCACACGGATCTTCTATTTCAGCAAGCTCTGTGAGTACTACTGGAGGAAGGAACATATTGCCTAGACAAAGAATCAGGATACATTCGTCATCGTTAGTACTCGATAGTTTTTAGCGTGGGTTTATAATAATATAGACATGAATACACGGATATCCAGAGATTCATTTCTTGCAATCGAGTTACTTTGAGTATTCGACGTCATTCGAGCTTTAACGCTTGCTGATTGCTCGGAATTCCTTCATGAAGCAACACGTAACAAACGAGTAGAAATTCGCGAGATAAGATAATGACCATAGACCTTTATTCGTTTCGAAACGAATAAAGGAATAATTCAACGTCCATTCTTCGAAAAGTATTCTTTCATTTCCTTTAGGGGTGTTCCAATTAAACGAATAAACCTGAGTGTGTTCTAAGAGACTAATTTTTGTTTATATGAAAATGATCGAACACCAAAACAATCTAACGAGTTTATTTCTGTAATACTAAAATATATTTATTTTATTCGGAATAATAATTAAAAGGAAACATTGTTTTTCCTCTTAATTGATTTAATAAAATAATAAAATCAATAATATTCGGAATTCAATCAAACGTTTGAATTAATCAAATTTGACTGTATATCTTCCGAGGCAACGAATTCGAATTAACATTTATACAAAGGATAGATAAATTTAATCGTGTGTTAAGTGTTCGTATGCTCTTTTCTTCGTTAGTTCACTTTACAGTTCGCTGACTGTTCAACGGGGCCAATCTTTACTTACAATTAGTAGATATTATTAAAAAACAGTAATTAAGTGTAAAAAGCACTCTTTTTTACACTTATTACTTCCGAGTTAGTTCACTAATTGTTAATGTAATTTGAATTTTATCAGAAAAGTACATTACAAAAGCAATGTAAGGAAATAAATTATTCTCCTTTCTTAAATGGCCGATTCCTTTTAGCTTGCACCATCACACGAATGAAATAACAAGCTTTCAAGCGTAAAAATAATATTACGAAGAATTCTTTCTTTTCTCTCTTTTTATTTTCTTTATTTCCTTTTTGTTTATTTTCTATATTTTTATTTGTATTTCTTTTTTTAATCGCTGCAGTTCTGGTCACGCATCAAACTCGTACTAGAAAAATTCTTTCGAGAAAAGAAAACGTTAATCTTATTTATTTACTTACTTATTTGTTTTTCTATTTAGTTTTATTTTTTTTTTTTTTTATTTATTTCTTGTTTTTACCTATAATCGAAACAACTTTGAAACCATTCCGCTAAATAAAAAGATCGAACTTTCGATAGAAGTTTGGAAAAGGTTAGCTCAATATATAAAACATGACAGTAATGACGTTTCCGTGTAGCGTGAAATATAAAACGGATAAACGTAAACGGTTGTATTATATAAATGCGATACAAATCTTGAAAATAATTCAGATTTTCAGTATAGAAAAAAATGACATTAAAAGGGATCTTACTTTTTTAACGAGATACAAATATATATATATACACATATTTGAAAGGAGAACATTTTTTCTTTCAAACTTATTATAAAAAAATAAAACAATAAAAAATATATATTAAAAATTGTAAGCAATAATAAATATCTGATTTATGTATTACATTTTCTTAACAATATCAAAATTCTTGGCTTAATGTTTGACAATAAACTCACATGGACTAAACATATCAGAAAACTAAAAGACTCTTGCCTTAGAAGCTGTAACATCCTAAGGACCCTAGCTAAAAAAAAAGATCCTTTTATGAGGATAATAAGCCATCGAATCCCTTGGTAGAAGAGAACATATTATCATAAACAGATTTAAAATTGGACACACTAACTATACCCCATAGCTACCTATTTAGTGGAAATTCAAAACAAAATTGTGAAATATGCAATGAAGAAATTAGCGTCAAGCACATAATAATAGATTGCCCCAAATACATCAATGAAATAATAAGATACAGAATTCCAGAAGACCTGAAGACTGCTCTTTCACTCAGGAAAACACACACACCACATTGACATTATTAATTTTTTTTAAAGACAATCACAAAATATTTTTCAATATATGTAACACCTAATATAGCTATGTATTGTTATATGTCGCTAATAACCTTGTTGTTGATGCGACTATAAACTGGAAAAAGAACAAAAATATCTGATTTCAAAGAAAAACGTCTCTCGTGATTTATTTCTGTTTCTTTACTGCGGCAATATTTTATTTCTCAAAACGAAACGAAACGGTATATTGCAGGAAAGATCATAGTAAACAAAAAAAAATGTATGTACGTCAAAATATAACGAACACAAAGGTCACGAAGCCTTTAGCTTTTCTTCGATCGATCGTCAACGCAAGACTTAACTGTCAATTTTTTAAAGTTAGCGAATATGAAGTACATACGTAATACATATTTCCATACATATATATGAGGAATGTACAGTGAATGCCGTTCTAAACGATCAATTTTCTAAAGGAATCTCGATATGCCTACTCCAAAGATGCGATCCATCGTTTATAGATAACACATTGTAGACAAGAATCTATAGATGTACATATGTGTGTGTATTTGTTACATACCCCTCTTACACGAAGAATTCCAAGTGTTTCAAAGACTCTAGAAAGACGTGTGTTAAATTCGAGCAATAATATTTGTATCCATTTATTTGAACGCGAAAATATTCCATTTCACATTTCTCTCATCGAGAAAATAAAAGAAACTTCTTCTTTTTTTATCAAATAAATATAAAAATACGTATACATTCAATTTATTCCACCAATTGTACGATATTTTGTTATACCAAACGATACGCACGCATATTTATTACCATTTACTTAATTATATTTGTATTTTTTTTATGCACATTTTCGTTCACAGTAATTAGAATTCATTCGAATAAGTATTTTTAATATTCATTAAATAAAATTGAATTAATAAAGAAAAAAGATATCTTTTCGGGAAACTTTGTATTAAAAAAAAAAAAAAAAGAAAAAAAACTGATAATTACCGTTAACTTCATTGATTTCTTTCTAAGAAAGAGATTACAAATTTCTAAAGAAAAAGTAAATTTGAATATCGATCGCTTTTTATAAGACCGAAGAAATAAGAAAATAAAGAAGGACGAAGTTTACGGGAACGATTAAACACAATTTCTCGTGAAATTCAGGCTACGATATACGCAACGTGTACTTACGCTTATATTCGTGTACATTGAATGGATGCATGATCGCATCTATGCACGTCACGATTATTTGAACGCGGTAAAACGGTATAAAAATGTGTTTGCTCTTCAACCGGCGCGTATTGTTTTCTCCCCTGATTTTCTGAGCTGTTGTTTCAAAGTCCTTCATAAGATGAACCCCAACCATACGTGGGTGTATGCGTTCATAAGCGTGTAATTTTCCGTCTGCCTGCTTGTCTGTCAGTATATGTAGATGATCGTGTATTGTTAAGTGTACATGTGTGTATGTGAAACCGTGTTATGACCACTTTTCTTTTCTTTACCTCTTTTTTTCACTCTACCACCTTTTAAGCAATTAGAGAACCCTTCATCTCCTTGCTTCGTGATTTCAATTTATATTTACTGCTTTTTTTAATTTATTTATTTTTTTTATTTTCTTTCTCTCTCTCTTTCTCTCTGTTTCATATACTTTTTCAATTTATTCGTATACTATGGGAAAGAGAATACTCATCAACGAGATCGTATCGTGACAACAACAAATGACGACGCTCGAAATCAAGTTCAATATGTGTTGAGCTAACGAAATTCTCGTTTTCTACTAAACTTCAATGCGACAAAGTTATTCTAATGCGTCTTCTCGTTATATTCCGTATAGAGAGTAATCAATCGATTTGAATACTTTGATGCAATTATTTTTGATGATTTTTGAGAAAAACATACATGAACCGATGATCTCAAATTAATATTCATACACGTTTTTCTAGTTGAATAATATTTTTTCTATACTCTTTAGATACAAACATATCGTTATGTGACTTGTTTTTTTAAATATTGATCTCTATAGTTATGTATAATTTTTTGCTTAATATATATATATATACTCGAGTTAGTTAATAATTATAATAAATTTTACAATCTTAAGACATCTGATTAAATGTAAAAACTATTTTTTATAAAGATCCTATAATATTTTTCATTTTTTAAAAAAATATTATAATAATACTATTCATAATTTTTATGATATCAGAAAAAATCGTAGATTCTAAAGCGATTAATACAAATATTTATTGAAAATCGTGTGAGATAATCATCCAATTTCAATTTAGAGAACGCATCTAAACAATTAGAAGCATAGAACGACTTAAATTCGTAAGAAAGATTTCTTTCAAAGTGGTCAACTTATAATAATGAAAGACGATTATTTACTGTGTTAGAAAAAAAAATGAGAATGAAAGTATAGCGTGTACCGACAAGAAAAATAAGAATGATAGGCGAGAAACACGAGCTACTACACGCAAACTCTAATAACACAATGTAGAATGTAGATTATTTTGATAGATAACGAGTTTAAAAAACCTTATAAAAATGCATCATTTACGACAAAATTAGGATTGAAACGATCTGAGGATTCGCGATACTAACAAATCAATTTTAACAATTAATTCGTTAACAGTTAATAGAATTAGAATTAGAATTGTAAAAATACAGCGAATAACAATTACTGTAATACTTTTTCAAATTTATACAGTATTTTTAAATTAATCTTACGTGGAATTAAATTTTACACGCGTAACGTGTTTAAACATAAAAAAAATGTATAATATATTTTATTATATTAAATAAACTAAAAAGAGCTAGCTACTTATTTAAAGTTTTAAGTAATAATACACAAATTTGTTATAAATGAAATTAAATAATGAAATAAGATTTTATATAAGTGCTTATACATTTAACTTTTCTTCATTATACAGTTTAGACCAAAACACACATTATAAGAAGGATTCGGAAATTCTAGAGGGATGATACAATCCTATAAGTGGATTTAATGCTTGTGTAGTTATATACTAAAAGGAGATTACGAGAGATTACTTGATAGTGTTTGAAGGCGGTGGATTAAATTTTGAGCGTGTCAAATTCTATAGGAAGTTACGTAGGTTGATAAATACTAATATTATATGAAATGAGATAAAAAGAAATAAAATAAAAACGTAGAAGAAGAAAAAGAAGAGGAGTTACATTAGCTTATATTTTATAATTTAAAGAATGTCAACAAAGACTTACCCAGTTTGAAACGTCACCCATGCCTTCCGCATCCCTCGTGCGTCAGTCAGTGCCCATGTGCCCGATTCTCCCGATTCTCAATAATCCCTTTTTATTTTATCAAAACAATTAACACGAAGATATATATGATATAACAAAAAAAAAAGGTCACAATTTTTTTTTCTTTTATGTTTCAATCCAAATTTGTGTAAAATCTAAACAAACATATTTTTACTATCCCTTTTTTTTTATCGACAAAAATATGACAAAGAATACAAAAATAATTTTCCCGTGTGACAATTCTATATATTGGAGTAATAATTCCTACTGGCGTGTTATATATGTATATAGATATAGATATAGATATATATAGGTATGTTTTTTTGCCAAGGGTTGATAAATTGTGTATAGATGCGCGCGCGTATCCACGGTGGAAGAGTCCGACCGACTGACTGAACTCTGTCGCAGTGAGAGCGCGGGGACCACCGCGGGTACGTGGGTCGATCGAACACCTTCTGCACCCCTCCTCGGAGCCAACGTCAAAGCCACCCCTTGGCTGAAGCGCAACGCACCCACCACTGCCACCACCGGCAGTATTACTACCATCGGCAAGGAGGGACTGACGGATAAAACGAAAACGAGAGAGAGGGAGAGAGAGAGAGGGAGAGAGAGAGAGAGAAGAAAAAGCTCCACATATCCTGCAACACCAGAAAACTACTTACTCCTATCATCATCGTCGTTTAATTTTTTTTTTTCCCCCTTTCTCTTTTTGATATTTTATATATGTTTCTCTTTGTTTTTTTTATTATTATTATTATTTTTTTCCAAGGTCGCCAACATTTTTATATCGATCTTTTTGATTCTTTTTCTTTTTCTTTTACTTTCTTTCTTTCTTATTTTCGTCAAACTTTTACGAAAGAAGAGAAATACTCTTTCTTTGGTTTTTTCTTTTTATTTTACTAAACTAAGCAGATAGGTGTGTGTTACTTTCTGCGAAGATCAGAAAGTAGATAACAAGTGAAAGGAAAGAGAGAAATTTTTACACAAGGTTTAAAAAAAGTCGTGAGAATTTGCTATTATTCTTTGTTTTTTTCTATTTAAGCATTTCGAGAGTTGCAGTGAATAATAATCAATTTCGAAATGATTGAATTGAAATGAAAAAGATCTTATTTAACGCGGATAAACGGTGAAGTAATACTTTTTATATATTTTTCATAGAAAATAATTTCATTTATATTTATTATATATATTTATCTTAAATTTGTATTTTTCTCATCAACTTCCATATTATTATTATATTATTAATTGCTCGACCATTTTTATAATCCATTTACATTAAACTCTAAGCATAGAAATTGTTTTCCTATTTTAAATGAATTTAAATTCTCTCAACTATTTGATGGTTTTCAAAGCTCCAAACGTCCAATCTATCCTTCGACAATTTTTAACGTCTCTACTGAAATGTTTAGTGAAGTTTTGAGGATTTCATTCGAAACTATATGGAACCTTGCCAATTTGTACTAGAGGAATATTCTCACGTATTCAAGATTCCTGTGGTTGGCTTCTGGTTAGAAAAAAAAATGTCTTTTCGAGAATTTCAACTGTCTTCGTGACAAAAATGACATAATCATTGGAAACGTATACGTAACCAACCGGTCATTCGAATCGTATTGATTTGCCATCAAATTATTTTTATCATTTCAACTAACTACAATAAATATCGTACTGACTTACAAACTCTTCATTAACCCTTTGAGTGCTGAATACTCATAAGTGAAGTGTTTAATAAGAACGGAATACTTTATTACTAGAGTGTTTGTTTCGTTGATTGATTTTAACTACATCTAATAATAAATTAATTAATTTTGATGTGATAAGATTCAAAACAATAATCAATACGTAAAACAACATTACATTATTTGCATTTATATTGACAAACACGTATATGCGTCAGTAGTTAACACTGGGAACTTGTACCAAACGCTTCTGTAGCACTCAAAGGGTTAAAAATTGTTTAATAAATTTTCACAACTCATAATAATAATAATAATAATCTCAAATAATTACAGAATAAAAATATATATTTCTATAAAAAATCAGTCCAGTATCTCTTTAAAACCTTTCACATAATCTTACCGATTAAAATAACAAAACATATGAAGCGAAACTGAATTGATAGAATAAAAAATAAAACAAAAAAGAAGTAACCGAACGTTAAAAAATACCATCCTCTTTCGTATTGTCTGCGTATCATCTGTTCTTACGTACGACAAAATTGTCTTAAGAAAAAATAACTGGACACTTCTCAAGGGTAGCTTAAAGTCTGATGACATTGTCAAGGAAAAGAAAGAAAGAAAAATAAAAAAAAAAGTAAAAATAGAGAAAAATGTCTCGAGGTTATAGTTACATTACTACTACATACGAAGGAAAAGTAACAATACCAAAAATTGTTGTTGCGTTTTGGAAGCAAAAATAGAAGATGAAAAAAAAGGAAAGGATGTTAGTAAAAGAAAATAAAAGAATAGAAAGTTTGCTACGTACAATGAAGGAAAGAAAAGTGTCCTGGCATAAAGGACTTGAAAACGCGAGTTGCCGAGAGGGTACTTTATGAAAAATAAAAAGACGGAGAATTAAAACAACTGTTAAATGAATAACGTGATAAGTATTTACTTGCTTTACAAGTTTACCCTCTTCTATTTTTTTTTCTTTTTTTTTATTAAACTTCTAAAGGATCTTTTAACTTCGCAAAAAAGTTCTTGGGGAATGAATTTAAAAAAAAAAAAAAAGGAAAGGAATGAAAATATTTCGCGAAAAGATAGTCAAGACAAAACCAACGGAATCGTTATCCTGAGTGAGAGACATATCGAAGGAAGATAAACATTCATGCATCTTTTATGTCATCGATATAGAATGACACTTTATAGGATCAGTGTAGTATCTCTCTCTCTATGAACACTCATACGAGATATCTTTCTTGTCCTCTTTCTTAGCTTATGAAATTCAACCGACTGACGTAAAAAATCCTTTTTCTCTTTCTATATTTCATTCTTACTTTATTTATTTTTATCTGCATGTATAAATATCTGCATTCGAAATTAGATGATCTCTTCTATAGAATATAATATTCAATAGATCAGTTTTGATGATTCAAATACTTGAAATAAATTTGATAAAAATATTTTTATCAAAATCATCGCGTATCCGTAATGACAACAAATCAATTATTATATGCTATCTTTTTTTACTTATATAACAATTTACAAAATGTCTACGGACAAATTGTAAAGATGTATGGAGTTAATAAAAAAAAAAAAATACATACTATATGCATATATACGTGTACATATATACATAAATATACCCCTATCGATAGAACGTTACTTATCGTGCACCATTATGCAACGGTGATCTTCCATGATTATATTACGTATCGATGGAAAGTACTTCTCAAATAATTGACGTAGGAAACCAAATTAAAGTTCACCGAAGTGATGCAACACAATTTATTCAAATATTCAATATCTCTTCGAACTAATTTTTTAATGGATTAAAGAACTATAATTGATTATCCTTATTACATATACTATACCTGTTTTCGTTAAAATGAAAGAGGAAAAAAAGAAGAAGAAGAATAAAAGACAAAATGAAATTATGATAAAAAAAATATTATAGAGCAAAGACAGGGTGTGTCATCTAACTTTTGTACCAATTAAAATGAAAATTAATATTAATACACATATTTCTAGTGATAATATTATCATATGGTACATATGGTATATCAAGAAATTTTATAGAGAAAATATTTATGCTTTCTTTTTTTTCGATCCACGATTCTATTAACATCCAACAGCTACTATCTTTCAAAATAACAAATTAAAATAAATTAAAAATATTTTGAAAAATATTAAAATTTAACTACAAGCTATCTTTCGGAAAATGCTTCTCCCCACTGTTCTTTATACATAAATGTATTATAATCATAATATATACATCTTTATCTTTCCAACATTATTCTCTTCAGTTTACTTTACAAGAAAACTTCATTTTTCAATATTCTTCAGCGCACCCTCAGTCGCAAAATGATCGATGTTGAACAAACCCTCTATTTATCTCTCATTGTCAATATTCTTACATATAATACATATAATAAATCGCTTAAATATTCGAACATCTCATGGCTGTTTAAATATTATTGTTCTGTAAACTTACTTAGAGTTGAGTCAAAGACTTTTTTTTTTTACCAATTAGTACACTCTTCAGAGTTTTCAGAAACATAGATTTTATATATTTAATTAACATAATTATCTATATAGCAATATTCGAACACACTTTATTTGTAGCTTTTTCGTTTTATTATAAAACAGTATGGTCATTCCAGTTTCATATCATAATAAATATGATATGCACTGTCTATCTCTCCTTCGATCCCTTTCCACCACCCTTTCTATCTACTTACGAGTATGCATGCACATATGCATATATCACACTTTTACCTCATTCTACAACCTCTTATTGTTAGTAGTAAAGCACCGCATCGAAATTGTCATAGCAACGAATCAAACCTGTCCTTTTCCAAACAATCAACCAAGCACGAAACTTCAACGAAATCTTTCTCTCTTTGTCTTTCTTATTCATTTTTCCTTTCATTATTTCGTGCATTAATTAATATATTTTATTCGGTACTTTTCCATTTGATAGATAAAGTGTCCAATGATGAGCAGTGACTTGTTATCATTGAACGCAACTGCTAATCGCATAACACAACTGACAAGGGAAAAGGTAACATTTCTGATCTTAGGCTACATTTAGAAATTATTATTTTCATTTGTTTTTGATCAGCATTTATATCCATTCATACTTGTTGAAATTAATTATGAATTAATTTATTTATGTAGTATTTGGTTATTTATATCTAATATTCTATACCAGTACTTTTCAAAGTGTAGTTCGCGACCCCATATGAGAGACCCCGTGGGGGTCACTTAACTAAATTTGAAGATTGCACAAATTTGAACAAAACTACAAAATTCCTAGATGCGCAAAGACAGAAAATTAATTCAATACTATACGTACACAGTATTTTTGGTTTTTATGAGATGGTGAAAGAAAAAATAGTATAGAGTTTATGCTCAGGGTCACGAAAATATTTGCTGGAGTAAATGAGGTCGCTAAGGGGAACAGTTAGCCAGCTTTATACTATACTATACTTATAGCATAGCATGCATTATACTGTAAAACATTAGATTATTGTTATACATTACATATAAATATATTACAATATTCTAATATAGGTTGACAAATAAGTAATATTAATTTAAATATAACAAAATACATTTGTTACATAATATTAACTATTATTATTAATTATTAGAATAGATTTCCTGAATTACGACGTGTATTAGGCGCACAATCGCTTTTAAATCGGTTAACAACTGTACAATGAATCTCGACCAATGAATGGACATGCCACGTGTTTCCATTTAACTCGATTCGAATTAGATCGATGACCTGACGTTTACTCATTCAAGATTCTATTTATATTCCTAAAATAGAAAATATATATCTCACTCGATAATTTGGGGGTAACAGAAATGTTTGGAAATATTCAACTGAATTTATTTTCTGCCAACGAATCCCACATTTATTTTTTCAATTTCACTATTTTACTTTTCTATTTTCTTATTTCAAAATCTTAACAAAAGTATCTTTTATTTCGTAATTTAATACAATTAAAAATAAAAATTAAGGATATTTATAAAAAAAAAACATAATTAAATTTGATTTATAATCAGGAGGAAAAACGTACCCAAGAGCGACGTAGAAATCTTCTATACCTCGTAGCCGCATTTTTAGGAGAGCAAGGGTGAACGTCTTTATTTAAATTCTATGTACTGCATAAACATATATAATAAATAAAACAACAATTTTTATCTTTCAGATACACCAATTCCGTTGATGTTCTTTTGAAAGAAGCCCAATTGTCCCGTGATATTCAAATTTGCGACAATGTCGATCTGGAAATCATTTTAATGGAATATTCGGATTACCATTATGTGAGATTCAATAAGTATCCAAAATTATGTAAAAAAATCGAGTCAATTGGCAACACCAATTATCTTCACAACACGTAAAGCAACATTTATGATTTGTACATAAAAAAAAACATTTTAAGAAACGTTAAAAAATTAATCTAACTCTTTTTGCTTTCTTTTTTCTTTCAGGGTTAGTAAAAGAGACAGAGGAGGTAGTGGTGGTGGTGGAAAGGTTTATTCCAGATCCGAAGATGAAAGTGGAGCATGGAAGAATAAAATTCCATCGTCGAAGTCAACAACGACAAATGGATTAACCATCGAGGAATCAAATTTCGGTATTACTGTAACGCCTATTTTTCCATCAGAAAACGTTTATTCAAAATCGATTGCCCCTGACTTTATTTCCGATAATGAAAAAACATTAAAGCCTATCGGAGATCTATATCCGTCTGGTTCGGAATTGAGAGAAATCGCTGAAGTTATTTCTAAAGTAAGTAAACATGAATATTCTTCCAATTAAACTTAATTTGATTTTATTGTGCATATTTGTATTTATAGAATATTAATAAATGATAATATTAAAAATGTTAATCAAATGATTATTTGAATAGATGATTGAATCGATGATTGAAAGAAGGGCGTAAATTACATTTAATAATAATTGAATTATATTTTTATGTTTTTTAATTATATTTTATATTTGTTTAGAATGAAATTAAATTACTAAAAAAAAAAATTACTTCTTTCATTACTGTAGCGTTCAATGAATTGTTTTTATATTTACCTGAAAATTGTATTGAATTTAACATGTATCTTTTTTCTAGACACCCATTCATTCATTGACAATATTAATTTTATCCATTATTTATAAACCCTTAGTATTTTTAATTGTATCCTAATTAAAACAATCAATAATCGATTTGAAATAAATAGGAAATAGTATTGAGAGATTTGAACGTTCATTGGAAGGATATCAAAGGTTTAAATAAATGCAAAATGTTATTAAAAGAAGCAACTGTCTATCCAATCAAATATCCTGCTTTATTTAATGAAAAACTTGGTCTCTGGAAGGGTGTGTTATTGTACGGTCCGCCAGGAACAGGTATATGATAACGATAATAAAAAAAGGAAAGAAGAAAAAAGAAATATAAATAAATAATAAAAAGAATCGATCGTTAACAGGTAAAACTATGCTCGCTAAAGCAGTGGCAACTGAATGTCGTGCTACCTTCTTTAATATTACGTCGAGCTCTTTAATTAGTAAATGGAGAGGTGATTCAGAAAAGTACGTTAGAGTAAGTATACGTTAAAAAATATTAGAAACCTATTATATGTTTTATATGCATAAGGGATGAATGAATTTATAGGTCCTTACCGATCTCGCAAGATTTTATGCACCAACAATAATATTTATCGATGAAATCGATTGGACGACCGCGAACAATGCCGGTGATTATTCTTCAATGAACTCTGAACCTGCTAGACGATTTAGGGCAGAACTTCTTGCAAGATTAGATGGATTATTATCTACGGAGAATGTGAATGTTACACTTTTAGCTGCTACGAATGTACCGTGGTAATGTATTGAAGAAGAAGAATATATAAATAAAGTAGTGATTATGAAAGTGGTCTAATTGCACCAAGTTATACAAAAAATGATCAAACCTCGATAATATGGAATTAAACAATTCTAAGATTTGAATGTTTTTAAAGTAGCTTTTATACTATTTTTTAACGGCTTATGTTATATATATATATATATATATATATATATATATATATAGTTAATAATAAATAGCATAATAAATATAAAAATAAAACTATGAAAGATTCAATAGTTGTTATAACGATATAATATAAGAGTTATTCTATGAGTCGGTGTTTTCCTAGTCTTCCTTTTATGGGTTCGAGTCATTTCTCTACGAACACCTTCTCACACCTATCCACTACTACCAAAGAGGGTGCATCTTTTTACCACCTTTTTGAAGTCAACAGCACACGGTTTTTATTTCTCCGGACAGGTCATTCATTCATGATACTAACCGTGCCCACGTTGCTTAACTTTAATGATCTGACAGGAATTAGTAATTTAACGTAGCTAGACAGGATTATATTCTATAAGTTAGTAATTTTTTATAAAATAGGTATTACAAAATTATGGTATTCGTACTATGTTTAACTTTTTATCATTTTAAGGGTTGCGTCAGAATTTGTATTATATACAAATTAATTGTCCATAGTATAAATATAAGTAGAAAAAAAAATAATTATCTTTGTTCTTGTAGAAATTAATTTTGTTGTATATAATACAAAATTTGAAGAATAGCGTGTAAGACAAACTGTCTTTTAATATCTCAAATGGCTTATTGTCAGACCACTTACCTAATCACTAGCTTATATATAACTATACTATATCATTCTCATATTTACAATAATGTAAATGTAGGAATTTAGATGCTGCCTTGTTAAGACGATTGGAGAAACGTATTTTTGTCGATCTGCCAGACTACGGGAGTCGCTTAGAAATTTTACGATCGTACGTAGACAGCAATCTACATGTAACGGAAGAGTTCAAATCACTTTTAAGATATACAGAGGGTTATTCATGCGCCGACCTAAAATTACTTTGCAAAGAAGCATGGATGAATCAATTGCGGCCCATTCTTCAATCTCTTGAAGAGAAGAAAATTGCACCGGACGATGTACAAAGCAACGGTCTAATAATCAACGTAACGCATCTCGTAGATGCAATGGTATTCGTAAAACCCATTGTAAAAAACATGAAACCGCGATATATACAATGGAATACAAATTTCGGCTCTTCTACTTGCGAAATTTGACATTTACAATTTAGGTAAATCAATATACATATATACATATTTACAACGACTATCATCGAATATTAAATAAATATGTTTCAGTTATGAGAAACTAAATTTTTTTCTGTTATCATTGATAGTAATACAATGCACATTGAATATGAAAAGTGATAAAATTATTATATTTTATAAGTGATAATATTACTTGTTTTTTCTCTTATAAAATCAATTCTTTCTTTTCAAATTATTGTCCTTAGCGTGTTTCAAACCATGGTAGTATCCTGTAGAAGAAATTTTGTATACTTAAATGTATAAGATTTTTTAAATTTACACATAAATCACATAAATGTATATTTCAATATAATATTTAATACCTGTATGAAATCCACTGATATACCACGACATCAACATACTGGAAAGAGCATCTGCATCATTTTCTGGGAGTCTAGAAACGATAATAAATCATTAAATACATACATATCAATTTTTAATCTCATATATATGCAGGATGTCAGATTTTTCCAGCCAAACGATGTCAGCATATTCCATACACAAAAATAAGAAAAACAATGTTTTATAAACATAGGTAATTAAAACCTATTTACTTAGCCATTAATTGAGGTGGTAAAGGAGGTGCAGGAGGCATCATATTTAAGAAAGGATTAGCCGATGGACCTGAATCGATATAAATTTTAGGCTCTTTCTGTTCAGAATCAAATCCCATCTTTTCTTCAGCGTTACTATTAACGCTCTTGGCATTGCAATCAGAACCTGACTCACTCTGATTCATACTTTCTTCATTAAACTTTTCTGCTAATGCATTCTTCTGCTGAGCAATTTGACTTTGTAATCCTTCCGATTCTAAAAGACTGCTCAATTCTACCTTTTCGCTATTACCATAACCTGAAATCGAATGGATGCTAATAATATAACATAAAGTAGAATATATTATCTATCGTAGAGAATATCTCAATAAGAATAAAATTCTAATATTGTAAATCTCATACTAATTACCTACAAATTTGACAATACATGTTCCATACTTGTCATAAATTTTAGTTATAATAGCTTCGTAAATTTCACCGTCTTCTGAATATACAGCACGACACGGAGACCCAACACACCATTTCTATTGAAAAAATGATCATTTAGTGTTTTATACTAAGTCATGATATAATAATTATCATTTTAATCTACAACCTTTTTCTGTTTATATGTAGTACGAGATTGTTTTTGTTGTTGAACTTTTGATTTAGAAGTTGTACATGGATAATCAATACCAATTCGCATAGAAACTTCTTCTTTAGCTAGATTTATAGCTCTGTCGTATGCTTTTATCAATGCTGCATCATCCCAAATTAATTCATTGTCATTTTCCTAAAAAATTTCAATATTAATGATACCATTGTGTTAAAGTTATCGCAAAGAATTAATTTTATTAAATATGAATAAAACAAATTATCTACAAACAAAGTTATAATTATATATAACAAAATGTTCTAATTATGACTAAGTTTAATAAAATGATTAAAAAATATATATTTACATTTCCTCTAACAAATAATACATTATTGTCGTCAACCATTTTAACAAATAGATTTGTTCAAATATAAATTCTTTTTGAAGACACTTAAAAGACCTTTCTTCTTTGTTTTTTTATACGTTTACAGAATGAATGTCATATAAACAATGTAAGATTATTTACTTCACGTGATATATATAAGAATTATAACACACTATGAGAAAGAGAAAGAGAGAGATTTGGAATAGATGAAAGAAACAAAATTGTAACCAATACGCACAACTTCTACGCAGTCACAGAACCGCGCGAATTTTTAATTTTTACACACGCAACATCAAACGCATGCTTTACATAAACAATTTACTTAAATGAAATAATTCATTATTATTTTTAATCTAAACGTTATTTTTTTTTTAAATAAAACAACAATTTTAAGTCGTCAAATAAAAAAAACGTTTCTAACCAAATTTGTTAACTTGCGCATGCGTAATGATATTAAAGCTCGTATCAGTCAATTCATTCCCAATTCGTGCCCATCTGTATGGAGTTTAGAATTACCGATACATGCATTAGTAAAAGCAATGCTGCCATTTCTAATTTCTAGTCATTAAAAATGGAATTCCCTTTCGCAGAAGTATTGTTTTCTTATAACTCGATCATAAATTTATATGAATATACGTGTTTCCAAATTAGTAATATATCTAAAGAAAAAAGAATATGGCAACCGGTTAAATCGTGTTTTTAAAATGCTGAATTTATTGCAATTCCTCTTGTGCATTCTATCTACTTCTAGGTTGAATCAATGATTTTTCAAGGATATACTTGTAAAAGATTGTTTCATTCGAAGAGAAGCTCACTCAATAATTTTGAGCTTTGATTAAATATATACATATATTTGATTGTATTAAACTGTGGCGTAAGTGAGAATCAAAATTAAAATGCCGCTGTCAAAACATACACAAACACATATACACACGTATACGTAACACACCTCATTCTCATAGCATGAATTCAATTACATGTTTTGTGTGTAGCTGTATGATGATATCTTAAACTTGAGATATATTGTTAATGTGTATGAAAATTGAACTCATTTCAAATTGAAATTTTTATTTGAGGTTGCTATCAATGTTAAAGGATTTTCTTCAATTTATTAAACGTTGTACATATCCAATCTTCTTTTTCTTCCAAGTCATTTTATTTTATCTTTTTTCTGTCATTTATTATATGCACATTTAATAACAACTGACAAATAACTAGTTTGATTTATTTTACGGACTATACATGTACAGAATTTATAAAAAAAACTTCCTAGAAAAAGAGAAAGAAAAGGATAACTTATCTTTTTAGAATAAAACTATTTGCACAATCTATTTTGCATTAACATTAATCTGTGAACCATGCCCGGAGAACCATCTGTAACGAGCGCTAACAAAGCAAGCGGGAAAACCAAAAGAATCTCAATACCTCGTGTACAAAGCAGCACAGATACAGAATTGCAGTCACAACAAAGTCAAAGTGGCTCTACACCATTACAGCCTCTAGCACTGCACTATGTAAGCTTTCGATCAGATATCGAGGAAAGTCCTATACCACCCGCACTGCGTTGTCGATTATTTGATCTATTTCAACAAATTGAGAAAGAATTTGAGATGCTCTGCACAGAAAATCTTGGATGTAAGGTTCTATGGCATCTTAGATTTAATCTTATCTGTTGGGTTGCGCTGGAATTATTAAATTATCATTAATATTTCACAGAAATATCAGGAGTATATCAATATTGTAATGTGTATCGCACTGCACACTTTTGGTATTCGCATTATGGGGAATCTTACTATTGAAGGCATGGATGTAAAACAGTATTTATATGTATATATATATATATATATACATTTGTATTAGAGAAATATTTGAAAAAAAGTTATTATAAACCAGTTAGAGAGTAGGTCGTAGTTATCTGTGCACAATTTGCATCGTAATTAGTATTGTTCAGTAGAAGTAAACATATAATTGTTAAGTTTTAATGAACTAAGTATATATATATATACTCAGTGCAATCCAATAGAAAGTATTTTATAATTTATAAAAAATATTTATATATAAAACATTTTTAAAACAGTGCAGGAAAAAATAGATATATTGAATGATCGATTGGAAAGAGAATGCTATGGCTCTGGAGAACGCAGCCTACTTCCAGGAGATATTCCAGACTACTCAGATACAAAAACGCTTTCCAAACAAAAATGTAATCAATTCATTTATCGTATTTATCCACATCAAACTATAACAGTATAACTGCTATATTTAATAGTATAATATTCTTAATTAATATTAAATTAAATCGTTACAGCTATGGTTAGCTCGTCTGCCCAGAAAATAAAAACTTCACACAAACTTAAAGCTCAAACCAGTAAAATTGTATCAAGTTTTAAAAATCCAACAATGTCCTGTACTATGCAAAAAGAATATGTTGGTCATAGAGATGGCGTATGGGAAGTTTCAGTAGGTAGATTGGGTCAACCGATTATAGCAACCGCATCTGCAGATCATACGGCACGAGTTTGGGCATCGGATTCTGGACGATGTTTGCTACAATATATAGGTCATAATGGTTCTGTAAATTCTGTGAGATTTCATCCAACTAGGGATCTTGCTTTAACGGCAAGTGGAGATGGCTCTGCTCATGTATGGCAAGCAGCGGTTGATTGGGATTTGCCTAAAAGAGTACCATCCATGGAAGAACTTTCAACAATGGGTGCAGAAAGAACAGCTCCAAGCAGCATTATTAGCAACAATGAGGAACTAGAGGAACCTCCTACTTTACGAACTCCAATTAGAGAACTTTTAGGTCATATGGGTGTTGTTATGGCAGCCGATTGGCTACCTGGTGCTGAACAAATAGTTACAGCATCCTGGGATAGAACTGCTAATTTATATGATACAGAAACTGGAGAAATAATTCATACTCTTTGTGGACATGATCAAGAACTATCACACGTGTCTACTCATTATATGCAAAGATTATGTGTCACGTCAAGTCGGGATAGTACATTTCGTCTGTGGGATTTTAGAGAACCTATACATTCTGTATCTGTTTTTCAAGGTCACACAGAGTAAGTACAATAATACTTCATAATGTTATTTATTTATGATTATATATATAGTATCTACCAGTGTATATTTTTGATATAGAACAGTAACTTCGGCAGTTTTTACACGAGAGGATAAAATTGTATCAGGATCTGATGATAGAAGTGTTAAAGTTTGGGAATTGCGTAATATAAGAAGTCCCTTAGCGACAATTCGTGGTGATAGCGCTGCTAATAGATTGGCTGTTTCAAGTACAGGAGTTGTAGCTATACCGCATGACAATAGGCAAATACGTCTGTTTGATTTAACCGGACAACGTTTGGCAAGATTACCAAGGACTAGTAGACAGGTAAATATTAAAATTATTTTGAACAAATGTGATCTAACTATAATAATACTATTCAATAGTTTACACATATCATTTATATTTATTTATACTAGAAACTTATACAAAATTAGAAAATTTCTATAAAACGTAACTCTCGTAAAATGTAGTAATAATTATAATAATAATAATATATTATTAAAATTATTATTCTAGGGTCATCGCAGAATGGTCTGTTCAGTAGCATGGGCAGAAGATAGCAATAGTATTTGTAACTTTTTTTCTTGCGGATTTGATAGATTAGTGGTAGGATGGAGTATTCTTTCTGTCAAGGATGCCTGAGCATCAAAATCCGTTAGTATTAGATCGATCCTTACATTAGAATAACATTGGACAGAGAGGCAATGTAGAAACAAAATTAGAAATGTAATCGCAAACCAAAAATCCAGCAATCAATCCGATTAAAGATCCACTCTTTCCAGTCTTACAGACAACTGTAACGAATAATTCAATTAGGCTGAAGAATACTGGTACATAATGTATAATATCAGATATAATTTAAAATTAATCAATAAATCATGAAATTATTGATAAATTTATATATATATATATATATATATAAATTAAATATGAGAACTTTCTCTCTGGTCATTACAGTGCAATTTAATACATTATCTATCATTTTTGATAAACATATACACATTTACCTGAATACGCTGTCATGAGGCATAAAACTGTATAGCCCTGAACAAATATGTAATGTAGATCTAATTCTATTGGTTTCCATATAATAGCTAATAATCCTAACAATTTAGAACATCCTCCCACAATAAGTGCTCTAGTTAAATCTTTGGCATTATACTTGTGTGGCCTTTTCCCGTTAATTAGCCAACGTATTTCAGTAACTATAATTACAGTGGCAATAAATGCTGTCAATGTAACGGCAGTTCGCAATAAAAGAATATAAAAATTACAGTCTCCTTGAAATACATCTCTGTTTTCTAGATCTTGATTGCTTTTTTGACTATTAATAGATTCACAAAAAGACCATACTCTGAAGGCTTCAGCCAACCATAACATTACCATCAGCTTCCAATACGATTTAAAATTGCTGTTATATAAAAGGTGCTGATAGGCTTGTTTCTCCAATAAAATAAGGTCAACGAATACAATGACAGGATCATATTCGATATATTTGTCAGCTAATAATCCACACTTTACCTGCAATAAAACGTAGAATTAAAAGACAAAAAAATATATTGCGTAAACATATAAATAAGAATATACAAACTGACGCATTTTAAAACTTTAAGAACGCTTGGACAGTATCGTCTATAAAGTTCTTCTGTCTCAGTTCCACAATTTATACAGATATACATGAGATTAAACCTGAAAATAAATTTATTTCAATAAGCACGTAAACAAATGTTTACAATTGCATTCATTTGATTTTATGTAAGTCAAAAGTAAGATAATTGGCTCGTCAACTTTACATGATTGTTCTACTTTTTTTTATATTTAATATTCTATATTTCTCACGTTATTCTATTTAAAAAATAATAATAGTAAATGCATATGTAAAAAATGTTTACATTAATATATACACAACGAAGATTGAATATAATTAGAATAATTCATATCTCAGAATAAAACGCGAAAACACCAGGTGCATGACCTGATTTGAGTTCAATGCCCTGGCATAGTAATGAAAGATTATATATATACAGGTTTAGTCATTTACATTAATCTAATTAAAATACATATTTTCATCATCGGATAATAATGTCTTTAGCCTATGCATAATTATATGAATAAGTAAATTTCTTGTAAAACCAATAATTCAGAAAATACCGTTTTCTGACACTCATACTTCCATCAGGGTCAGAGAAAGTTCCTCCATGTTTGTATATATAAAATTTCTGCATAGAATGCATGTTTTGTTTCTTTTTTGGTCGTAAATGTACCAATGAAATAATTTGCAATGACGCAGCTATTCTAGATACTCTGATTCATATTTCCATTATCTTAGAATTTTTTAAAAGATAATAGTGTTAACATATCTTTCAGTAAGTTTTTCTACGATAAGAACGCGGTAAATAAATTATTATGAAAGAAAAAAAGTTTGACGCAATAAATTAGAATAATAAATAATTGAAATATGGAGCTGTATAAAGTTGTTTTGTTAATGTAATAATGAACGTAAATAAAAATAAAAATTTCAAATAATATATAAATTAGATTATTTAAACCAAAAAATATTCTAGTACAATACTGAAGTAAATCACACAAGATGTGGACAAATTATTTTTGGCTTATAAATTAATTTTTTCAGATAAACATCATTTTACAATTAAACATCTCGATAAAATAATTTTTCTTATAACGCGAATATTGTAACGCGAATTATAAAAAATAAAACAACGATTAAATCATTGATAAACACTATTTGAAAAATCTAATTTAATGTATGCATTCATCTCGCATAGTATTAGCATATTGTTTGTATATATAATCTTTATTTTTTCCAGCTTTACAGCCAAGTGGAATATTGTTTATATATTTCTTGCATATTTGTCGCATATCTAGATATTTTTTAACAACATAAAAGTCTACACACAATTTAAATATAAAAAATAATATATATATATATTTGTGTAATAAAATGTATATATATATATTAGTGAAATAAAACGTTATATTAGACGTATTTACTTAGACAGTATTTTTCTTTTTTTTCTTGCCAGTTTATCTTATCTCCTTGATAGTGATTAAAACACTTATAACACTTATAAAAAATTGAATGCAATATTTAATTTATACTGAACATCCAAGGACAATATTATCTGACAGAAGTAAAAGGTACCAGAAAAACTGCTCCTTTACGTATGGTGGGGGGTGACTTATTAAGATAATCTAGAATAAAGAATACTTATCATAGCCAGTACAATTCCTACGTCCTTTGAGAACAATCATAAGATACTATCTACTGCTTTTATTCAATAAAGATTTTGTGTGTTTATACTATATTTATAACTAAAGAATCTAAACATGAAAACAGAAAAATTCATATCTTTACCAAATGGACAACAGATGCCAATATTGGGATTTGGTACTTGGCAGGTAATATTATATGGATAAATGATTATAAAAGTGGTCGTTAGAGAAAAGTTATTTTTAAATCATTTATACCTAAATGTTAAAATATTTTGAAACCGAACAAAACTACGAGACATATAAGACCAGTTTCATAATCACAAACTTATATATACATAAACAATTATTTTAATAATTGTATTTTATTAATTAATATAATATGAAATAAAAGGCAAGTGAAGAAGAAATAGAAACAGCATTAGATCTAGCTTTGGAAGCGGGATACAGACACATTGATACTGCTGCAGTATATGAGAATGAAAAAGCCATTGGTAAAGTTCTAAAAAAATATTTGGACTCTGGCAAAATTAAACGGTCTGAACTTTTTATTGTAACGAAGGTTTGTTTAACAATTGTATATTTTGTAATTCTATTAATTTTATATTGATTTTTTAATTAATTAACATTATATTTTATTATAATTATGAAATATCAATATTAAATGTTTGAATGCAAAATTAAAAATAATTTTTATAGCAATATAGATAACATTATCAAATATTTAAGTATCTATTAAATTAAGAAATAAGTCAAATAATTTTATTAATGTTTGGAGAGATAAGAACAAATATATATATATATATATATGATTCTTTGTAATATTCGATAATAAAA